CCTGTACTTGCACATTTGCTACTCAGCCGAAAAGGCAAAGTGTTTACTGAGGATGCTCTGTATTTCACATATAATGAATAGGAATAATACATATCTGGGATTTTTTAAGTCCAGGGCATATTTTGATATAGAAACTATCTCTCGGTACAACCTACTCTATTTTTTAAACTTGTACAGGGTATATTAAATAACAAGAAACTAGTTGAAATGGAAGCTAAGCAAACTGATTGCACAGCCCACTGCAGCGGACACTAATGCAAATGGAAAGCGAGACTTGGAAAAGTAGAAGTAAAGAGGAGGAGAGGAGAAACGCTTTGAGCACATTTTCAATTTATTCGACTGTGAAAACAAACGAATTGACCTGCCTTAAGTGGCAAAGGTGGCAAGTGTGTGGCAAGAGTGTGTGGCAGCAATGTCACATTGAGGTTGAGTTATATGAGTTCCGGTTGCAGTTGCAACACCAGCTGACCGCAAGTTGTGGCTGACTGAGGGCAGTTGCCACGCCCACACTAAATCCATGTGGCAATCAGCATGTGGCCAAAACTAACCGAAATGCCAAAATACCAAAAGCCATTTACAGCTAACCACAGAGAGGAGCAAGAGCGAGAGAGGAGTCGAGTTCTTGCCACATATTGCATAATTGCATCAATAACTAATGCCACAAACTTGCAACTAATTAATGCAACACTCTGTGGCAACATTAAGAACTTTGCTGACTAAAGTCAAACTTTTGTCCTGATAACGTGCGAAGGCATAAAACTAAAGTATTCACTTCGTCTTGCAAAACTTTGCGACTAACAGCAAAAATTTGTCAGAGATTTTACAGGGAGGTCAGAAAAGAAGTAGAAGAAGTTGAAAGTGTGAAACGTTCAACTATATGGTTTAGTAGTGGTTTATTTATAAATGATAATAATTTTAAAACTAAGACTTTAAAAAATTCTTTTAGTAAAATTGAATAATTACAATTTTGTACTAATTTAATATAATACTAATTTAATGTTTATAATTTTATTATTATATTTTATTTTTTGACGATGTTACCTCTAAAGAAAACTAATTAAATTCCACTTAAACAGCTTAATAACTTTTGTTGTTTCTGGCTAAAATGAAAGGACAATTTAGCAACTTTCTTAGCAGCAACTACTTGGGCAGCTGAGAAACTTAGTTTTATAGCATTTTGGTTAGCCATTGTTTGTCAACTTTGTAAGTGTGTGTGTCTATGTGTGTATTCTAGTCATTAGATAATGGACTCGCGCTTTCACACATATGACCTTTGACATTTTGTTAATTAACGATACGCTGACAGTTTATGGACGCCAAACAAAGCTAAACAATTAGTTTGCCAACGAACTGATTAGAACAGACAACAGACAACGGCGGGTGAGAGGACGAGAGGGCGAGAGGGACTGCCCTTAATGCTATCGGACTGACGAGCGAATAATGTATAGAGCGTGCAACGTGTTGCAGCTAAGCCAAACGAGGGCAACTCACCTGCTCGGTTGAACGTGCAAATATGCAGCACAAACATTCAAATAGTCATCAGACTGACACACACACACACACACTGTGCGTGTATGTGTGTGCGTGTGCTGTCATATTTGCCATACGCTCGAGTGGCGCTGAAAAGGCTTATAATTTCCGCTTGTTGTTCGCCTGGGTCGCCATGACAGGAAGTCTCAATGGGATGTATATGATGCATGCCCCTCATTGTGTAATTGTATGGGTATCAGGTTGTGTGTGTGTGTGTCAACGTCAATGTAAATATGCCACCTGCAGGACCACCCACGCTCAGCATTGGCTGAGGTCAAGTGCCTGCTCAATGGAGAAACCCAAATGCAAATGTTGGCTTTAAAACGCCGCTTGGCAACAGTCGAACAAGTCGAACTTGCGGCCCCAAAAAAAAAAAAAATAGAACGTTGAGTGGCAGTACAAGAAAAAATGAAGAAAGTACTGAAAATAGCTGCCTACTGAGGATTAAATACCCTTACAAAAATACCTTTTCATATACGTATAAGGCACGCAAACAGACTTAAGCAAATAAATAATAAATGTATAAGAGTTTATATACAAGAGGCCCCTTGCCTCCCTCTCTCTCTCTCTCTCTCTCTCTTCAATATTCTTCCATTCACTTGTGAGTGAACTTTCGTGCTTATCCCATGTGGATCATATTCAATTGTGCGCCAATTCTTGAGTGAAAAAGAGATAGCTACGCCACAGAGAACGCAACTTCTGTTATCAATCATTGACTGTGCACTTAAGTACGAAGAACACCGAGTAGATAAATAAAATTCGTATACAACGAGAACTTGTTGTTATTTCAAAGAATTTACTTTAAAAACAAATAAAAAACACACACGCACAAGAGACAACAAATATGCAGGACAGCTGCAGTGAGACTAAACTGTATCACTACACCCGAGCCTGTGCTAAGTGAGCACTCACACACTAACACATACATAGCAAAGCAGAGCACGCAACTTTAATAGCTCCTGCGCTCACAAGACTGCTTGAGCAAATGAGTACTTATAGTAGCTGATAACGGGATCAAAAGCATGGCGACCAATAATGTGACTGGAGGGCCAACTCATTCACTCTCTGTCTCTCTGTTGCTCTCTCTACCAGTCTCAATGACCAAGAGCAACAGGAAGGCCTCGATCAAAATTTTTCTCGTTTTATTTGAGCGTTACACACTTTGTCACAAATTGAAAAAACTCTTATACTTATGGCATTAGAAGTGTATGTTAAGCAAAAACCAAGCAGCGGGCGGTGTTCGCAACGCTTGACATTGAACGCGCCCTCACCACGCCTACCTTCAGGGTTCGGCCAGGGCTGTCAGCGTATGCCGCCTTATCTGGCAAGGACAACACGCACCAAGAGTAGCAGCAGTAGCGACAGCCGAAGCAGCCAACGCCACAGGCGCAGACCCCCATTTCCATAGAATCCCGACAAGCGGATTTTCTAGAGAAACAAGATGCAGACTTTGGCTTTGACTGCGCCAGTTGCCAAAGTGCTGAACAAACATAGTAGTTTCTTTTGCTTTCATTTTTACACGCTTTACTCGCTGAGTACGCCATGAAATAGGGTATGCTGCCGTTGTTCAAGTATGTGTGTAAAAGAGTATGTAACCATGAGTAGAAAGTATAGAAAAATATAAGAGGTAATGAATTCGAATAAGTGTGTATGTGTAAAAGGAGTGAGAAGTAGAGGCATACATAAGTATAGTATAAGAGCTAGAGTATGATTGTTTCATTGAGTGTAAAATATATAAGAGTTTAATAACTTACAAATGTGTGCGGAGCGAAAGACAAGAGCATAAAGAGAAAGCCTAGAAAATGTAAGAGCTGAAGGATTTATTTACATTCTCAGGATTAATTTATGAAATTAAGAGTATTTCTTTCTAAGTAGCTTTTGATATTATCTGCTGTGAATGTATAGCGATTTCCAGGGTATCTGTCAGCCACACACGCACTCTTCACATAAGCAGCTTCAAGTTCTTTTCTTATTTTTTTTTTTTTGGTATTACAACAAAGTGCTCTGTTTCGCATATGTAAACACGCCAGGAAATGAATACCCCGCCTTGCTTGCAAGTTAACCTATTCCCTCCACCCCCGCTCACTTCTTCCTTTTGGGTGCCTTGTTTGCCTTTTTATCGGAAGCCCCCTCAGCTGTTTATACTCTATAAGTCTAGTGGGCATTACTATATACTATATGTAAGAGCATTCCTTCCTAGTTGAGGCGTCTGCTCTTTCAATTTGCTTGCATTATTGTCGAGCTCGCGGCCAGGCTCAAATATGTATTCTTTTAATATGCGCCCAATGCCACGCCCCCTGTGCTTCCGGTCGCCTCAAGGCGAAGGCAATCTCTCTCGCAAGTTATTCAAATTTAATTTATGTAAATTGTTGCGCCAGCAACAAGAATTCCCGGAAAACGGCGAACGAATCGATTATGCAATTGCAGAAATAGCTAAATTGCAAAATAAGGAGCATAATAATGGGATCACAGCTGCACTAGCATAATATTTATGTCAATTGGCAAATAATGACAGATTTCTGATAGGATATTTGAATATGACAATTGAAAGAGCTTTGAGAATTCTAGGAGCTTTAATAGTTTTTTACTTATAGATTTAGCTCTTTGGAGTTGAATATAATTAATGGGAACTCTAATAGCCATTTCATTAAAGCTTCTACAAACGTGTTTCGAATTTATAAAACTCATTGAAATCAGGTGTTTCATACATTTTGTACATATCAGGCTTTTCATGAGCTTTTCCTATGTATTTTTTCATAGAAGTTGTGTTTAATTAAAATGTTTAAATCTAAAATGAGATAGAGATTAATCTACTTTCACAAAAAAATTCTATAGCTTAAAATTGGCTTTCACATTCACACAAACTTATAAATATTCGAAAAAGCTTAAAAGTTTGTTTTTAAAGTAATAAAACCCAATTTTAAGCCTGCTTCAAAATCCTTTGACATTCCAATTAAATAAATTGCAATTTATTCAATTTGACTTAAATTTTAGTAGCAATGCAATTAATATGAGCAAAAGGGAAAATGAATAAATTCACGAACTTCAAGCGATTGACAAAAAAAAAAAAAACTATGCAAAAATTTCAATTGATATTGTCCTCAATTTTAATGGACTTTACGTGCAATGTCAGAAGCTATTTTTCAGCATGCGCTAAAACCGATTTATGGGACAAACGAAATTGCACATAAACAAAAACAAAATATGCTAAATACCTGTGTGATTAACTAGAAAATACCCTGCAAAAATATGAAAGGATCTATCTCTATTAGATTCCTAGGCATCATAGTCGATATTCACAGGAAGGAGTAGCTGATTCCCTAAAAAACAATAGCAAAGATAATTAAATTAAAATTATTATAAAACTCATCTCTTTAGATACTATTAACTCTTGCATATACCCTAGGAAACCTCTATATGCTGAGGTTCTACCTTCCCTCAATCCTGTTTCAGTTGGAAATATTTAGTGAACATAAACTGTTCTCTATCCCATTATTAACACTTACTGCATTTTACAGGGTATACGGTACATTTTGCAAACAACCGAAAAACTGACGAAAAATGCATGAGGCAAGTTTTCGCCACAGCAGATGGTCAGACAACTATTGGCGCATTTCGTTTCCCCTCTGCCTTTTTTTCTCGGTGTTGTTTGCCATGAAATTGCGGCGTAGAACTTTGACGAAAACAAAAATTCCGCAGCAGCAGCGAGTGCAGCAGCAGCAGCGGCAGCGGCAGCGGCAGCGACAGCATCAGCAACTGCTGCAACTGCCAGGCAGGACATATAAATCAATTTTACAGGACTAACGCAAACATAAATAACACGAGACGCTATGAAAGTGAAGCAAATGGAAACGGATGCTCTTTGTTTTGAAACAATAAAATAAACACATAAAGAGCTACAACCGGCTGCACAATGCTCGCTTAGTATTTCAAGTTAGCACAAATTAGTTATGAGTTATTATGATTGAATATGGAAGATGGCAGATGAAATAATTAATATAACAGATTGAAGAATGAAGGAAAATTGATGAATAATGAATAGGATATACCAATAAATAGGATACCCAATGAAGAAAATTTAAAAAGATTGGAATTTTAAGATTAAAAAAAAAAAGAATTGAAAATACACTAACATCCACATCTCATTTCTACTCTATCTTCTAGCTGGGCGTTGCAATTGGCTTCGTGCTGCCTCCGATGCTGGTGCCAAACTCGGAGGACATCAACCAGGTGGGCTCCGATTTGCAGTTGATGTTCTACCTAGTGGCCGGGCTAACTAGCGTACTGCTTATCCTCATGGCCATATGTAAGTAGAGTCTAAATATAGTCTACCGCTTATCGTCCATCGATCTCTTCTTGCAGTCTTTCAGGATAAGCCCCCAACGCCGCCATCGGCCGCGCAGGAGGCGGCGAATCGTCTGGAAGGCATGGCCGAGCAGCAGATCAGCTTCGGTCAATCGCTGAAAAATCTGTTGACCAATCGGAATTTCATATTCCTGCTGCTCTCCTACGGCATCAATGTGGGCGTCTTTTACGCCATCTCCACGCTGCTCAATCCGGTACAATAGCACCTGTTTACCAAATGATGCATAATTGATTTGTGGTTTATTCTGCAGGTGGTGCTCAAGTATTATCCAGGTCACGAGGTCGATACGGGTCGCATAGGCCTCAGCATTGTGCTGGCTGGCATGCTGGGTTCCGTGGTCTCTGGCATTGTGCTGGACAAGACGCACAAGTTCAAGTAAGTGAAATTAATTCAATTGTTTACACATGTACAGTGGGCTGCAGGCAGAGTGAAAATAACTCACTCGAAAGGAAAGAAATACGCCTGCAGAAATGTAAATTTCCCTTTGAGAATTGAGTAGGTTTCAATTTAAATACATACGTATACATATACGTTAAAGTGAAGTGTGGAACCAATTAAAATGAAGGCACGTCAGCTTGAGTGCATATACATATGCACTCTAGAGAGTGAGTAATTCAGGGTAAGCTAAAAAAGCGAGGTACTTCTATAAGTAAACGCGAGAGCAGTAACTCTCTAACTAAATGAATGAACTGTAACGAACAATATGCAAATTTCCCTTTGAGTAAATTTCATTTGAAGTGAGAGAATAATTGCGAGTATGCAAAAATGTTGTCTAAGTGTCACCAATGGGGAATGAGCAGCAAAGTAAAAGGGAAATATATACGATCGAAATTGAGTAAATGTCAGTTTAAGTGAAATTAAGAGAGCGCTATGGAGAGTAAGCAAAAATAGTTAAGCTTTAGTGTGCTCGCTACGCATTTCTCAGTAGAAACGGAAGAAATGAGACAGAAAATGTGTAAAGCGCTCAACTAAGTGTATATAACAGTTGGAGTGGGACCAACTGAAAGTAAGCCAAGAAGTTCAGTGCTGCCTCTTGCTGGATCACAATATGCTTAGCCTCCAATGCTCTTTATGCCACATCTATATATGTATTAGTTCGATTTTAAAGAGAGCACTTTATTGAGCTACTATTTGCTGCTTGCAGGGAGACTACGCTGGCCGTGTATGCTCTCTCCATGGTTGGCATGTGGATTTTCACATTCACTCTCGATACGGGACACATTGCTGTGGTCTATTTGACAGCCTCGCTGCTGGGGTAAGTTGTTGGCAATTCGAACTTTAATTAACATATATCTGATGGTTGATTGATCAGCTTTTTCATGACTGGTTACCTGCCTGTGGGCTTTGAGTTTGGCGCTGAGCTAACGTTCCCCGAACCGGAGGGAACATCGTCCGGCCTGCTGAATGCCTCGGCTCAAACCTTTGGCATATTTTTTACGCTCTTCTACTCGGAGCTCTTCTACTCGTACGGAGATGTGCCAGCCAATGTAGCCATGGCTGTTATGCTAATTGTGGGCACTGTTATAACGGCGGCCACCAAATCCGATTTGAGGCGACAGAATGCTCAAGTGGTGTTGCCCACAGGCGGTGCAGCAGCAACTAATCCGTAAACTAAAACACACAGCACACATACACATATACACCTATACACCCATACATCTTTACATTCGAGTCGCTCTTTAAGCATTTGTTTTATAGTATTTTAATTTGTTGTTAACTTATATCTTTCTGTTGTAGCTTTAAGTATATCAAAGTGTTGAATTTTTTATTAAAATGTTAAACACACACACATATATATAGTTATCTAGGAATTTATTTTCTTAATTTTATATATTGGCCAAATGAAATTGTTTTTTAGCATTCTAGAAAGTAAGTTAAAATTTGAAAAGACTTAAACAAAAATGAGAAAAATTAAAAACAGCTTTAAATTTCCACTTTTTTGCGACAACAACAACAACAACAAGAAATTTAACATAATTGTCAAAAAAGAGAAAAATATATGTAGAGAGAATTGTTTAAACCCTTATGTAGCAGCCATTATCCAGAAATCCTACAATATTATATAGCCAATCATATATACCTATATATATATATCTGTTAATATAGCCAAATCTTTGTTAGCTAATCTGGTTTTATGTCTAGTTGAATCGGCTCAGTGTCTAATATAATTGCCTAATGCATATAGTAAGCTTTACAGTTATATACAGTCAAACTTGTCTATATTTAGCCAGAGTCGACAGATAATGGCAGTTCCTTAGAATGTGTCGATAGAACAAATGCACTCAATAAATATCTATATATACTATATACTACAGAGAATTAAAAATCCCTATAATATCAATGTTATCCAAAAGATTTGAATTCGAAAGTGGTTTGGCTTTAAAAGTTAGGATAGTAAGATATGAATCTGATAAAGGAAGGATAAGAAATTAAAATAATGTAACAGGAAAGAAAGCTTAGTAGAAATTATACAATATATAGAACAGTCTAAAGATCAAAATGTAGGTAAAGTTTGTTATAACGAAAAGACACTGTGGTAAGCATAAGAGTTTAAAAGTTATCCGCAAAACAAGCAAAAGAGTTTAGAAATATTTGAAACAAATTACAGTTGTATGCAAAAAGATCTTAGTGCGAAGTTCAATTTCAGTTGTTGACCTTAAGAATTACTTTGGTACCTTGACAAACCTTTAAGTAAAACATATTGAAAACCGCAAGAAACACATTCCTGACAAAAACAAGGCTTGCTAGAGAAGAATGACTTATGGATTATCGATCAGCTAAAGGGGGAAAACAGTTGGACGCTTTAAGCAGAGAAGTTCTAAGGCTTCAAACAATATTTTAGGAAATTCTCAATAACACAACTAATAATAGACAGACAAGTAAACCCATAATACCAGAATAATAGCACTTTGTGTATATATTTCTATAAACTTCAATTAGTAGAGTAACTTGAAAGAATGAATCAATAGAACCTCCAAATATCTCAATCTCAAATTCCTGAAACTTTCACTTTATGTATATAATTCTAAAGAAATTTCTGAACTAACCAACTGTAGGCTTAACCCCTAAGTGTCACATGATGTACATACATATACGCACATACACACACACATGTAGCCATATAGAGCAATTGAACACTAACAATCATATCTAAAATGTGTTAACGTTAATTTTGAAGTATTTTACACTTTGAAAAGGGAAATCTAAATTATATACACAAGATCTATTAATATATACATACATATACATATAAATATACGTCTATAATGCGTATAATTGTTGTGACATAGTTGAATTAACTAAAACAAACATTAAACAAAATTAGCACACTTTTAAAGCAATTTTGTAGATAGCTTTTAGGCTAATTGCCAGTATTATATATATGTATATAGTATATATATACACCTATTATATATAGTATATATATACAGATGTATTTCTAATTGTATTAGTTCACTCAACTAGTGTCAATTGTCAAACACCAGAGGCGATTACCTGACAACCTAAACAAAAGCTGTTACTACTTATATACAACCAACAACAACAACAACAACAACCACCTATTAAACAAATATATGACACATATATACACATACACACACACAGATACACACATAGTCGAAAAGTTATTACATTTCAAATGAAAATATATATAAAAATATATGTATATGTATATGTGTATAGTTGGAAAAAGTATTCAATAAAACCAAAAACTTAATCAAACAAAAATAAATTCTTAGTCGTGTTTTACATACATAGATACATATATATTATATATTGTCTGTTTGTTAAAGTTGTACACACACAAATATATATATTTATAGTATTATTAACATATACTTTTGACGCTGATTGAACATGAACATATATATATATCTCTTAGCTTGGGTCTCTTACAAATGACAAACAGCAATGAGAGCAAAATCAAAAAATGACAAAAAATCAACTTAAATTAGCAAAAACTAAAAACTTAAATAAGAAAAAAACAGTTGGAGCAAAAGCACCGCCCACCGCCCAACACTGCTGTCTGCTCGCACGCCCCCTTGTTCAATGCGTTGTGCCCCAGGCGCGCAGCAATGTCAACGCCTTGTTCAGATAAGCCGACCACTCCTCACGCTCCTCCTTCGTGTCGGCCGAGAGCAAATACCGCACCGTTGTCGTCCGTCCATTGGGCACAATAATCAACGACTCCTGATCGGTATCCAGGGCAGGACGCTCGCACTCGAGCAGCATCGTATTCAGACGTGCACAGATGTCACGCGGCGCTGTGCACACTTTCTGTGAGCTGCACGTATTCAAATCAATGCTGCCCATCGGGGCCTTCTTCTTCTCGTCATCGGGATACTTCCAGTAGCTGAGGACGGCGCCATTTAGATAGCACCAGCGACGATGCCAGGCACCAAAGCCAGAGATATCCTCGAACATGGTTAGGAAACCCTTGTACTCCACGCTCACCGACAGCTCACAGTTGACCTTCATGTGCACGGTGCCGTCGAGCGGACTCACGCCCAGCACTTGTGTCAACGTCCAGCTGGTGCGTTGAATCTCACGCAGCGAGAAGATGGCGAAACCATATTGCACCAGCTGTGGCGTACGCACCACATGGGGACCGGCTGGACTCTGGACGGGGGGCATAACCAAACGATTTTCGCCGCCCTTCTTCTTGGGCGTCTTAATGCCGCCCTTCTTATTCACATTGATGTGGTATTTGAGTTCGTGCGGCAGCTGATCCCGCTGCGCCAGCATACCATAAATCTCTAGAGTAATCTGTCGTGGAAAAACCATTAAAATATTGTTTTCGACGGAAATTAATTAATCTTCGGCTTACTCTAAAGTCCGCATAGACGTTGTTTAGCTGCAGCACATCGGGAAATTTGACAGAGAGCAGACCCGGCATCGTGGGCACCGTCTTGGTGGCCAGCACGTGCTCATTGTACTTGAGCAGGCAGACCAAATGATGCCCGTTGATGCTGCCCGTTGCCATTTTACGCACATATTCTTGACGCAGCGGTATGGTGATGTCCTTTACCGTAAGCAGGCCCTTCTCCTTGGGCGCACCCACGGGCCGTATGCTGTTCTCCACGCGCAGACGCTGCACCTCATCCAAGCAGGCCTGACGACGATGAGCTACAAGAAATATTGCATTAATATTTAATACATCTAAGCATGTATCAATCAAAGCCTACTTGCTAGCAGTAGATAACGTTCACCCTCCACAGATTCGGTGGAGCCCGAAAATTCCACAGTGGCTGCGCACAGATTGAGCGCCTGGCTGGCCTGTCCAATCACCTGCTGCTGCTTGCACACCTCGCTCAGCAGCTTCTTAATCTTCTCCTGCGCCAAAGCCGCATCATTTGATTCGCGTGCATTTTGCACCTCTTCGTCGTCCTCGCTGCTGGCAGCCGGCTCCACATGCTGCGGCGAATCATACTCCAGCTTGTGCTTGGCATGACAGTCGTTGCTCAAAGCGGAGCGCACAATCTGCTGCTCCCGGCAAATCTTACGCACTGGCGTCGAATTGGAGCTCTATAAATATTTGAAAAGTACGTATATAAATATAAGAGTTATATAATCAACTTATATGATTAATGTATAGCCTACACTGGCATTCTGCTGGCGACGATAGAAGCTGACGGTGTGCACGAGCGTAACTAAATTATCATTATCCTGATTGACGCTCAACTCCGATTTGACTGGTTGTGCGCCATTAAGCAAAGGCGTTTGCACATCCATCGCCTCCTGTTGCTCTTCAATGGTCTGACAGAGAGCAGCACTAGACGGCTTGCGGTAGGAGAAGCTGTTGGAGGCTGTTGTGCCTTTGCTCTGTGTTATAAGAGAATTCCAATTAGAAACAAGTTAAGAATAGATTGGAGTAGAGGCTACTTACGCCCAGCGATAGCTGACTGGCATTGTGCTCATCCTCGGTGTCATCCTCCTGCGTGCTGCCATAGTCACCCACTAGGGCTTCATCCAAATAATCATCAATGCCCGTAGAGACTTGTGAGGAATTCATTGAGCTGTCGCCATCATTGCTATAATAATGATCCTGTTCGGCATAGCGTACCTGTGGAGACAGGAAAAGGTTAAGGTTAGAGACCACCCGCTGTGCTTAGTTTACGCTACCTGGGACTCACCTTTTTGCCTTGTTGTTGTTGCTGTTGCTGTTCATTGCGCTGCACCGTGTGCAAGATCTCGCGACCTAGGCTGCCGTTGCACATGCCCGCACTGCTGTCCTCAGTCTGTGACTGATCCGCCTCCTCCGCCTCCTTCTCCGCCACATCCTCATCGGACTCATCCATGCAACTACAAATTAAAAGAGATTAGTTTAAGCAGCTATACAAACATTTATTATGCGTCTAGTCTCTAGTCGTTAAAACTAAGTAACTAATAGTCAGTCTCATCTAATCTCTGGTTGCCTACTCAATGCAGAGCAGAAAGAGCAGGCAGGAATAGCATTTGTCAGCGCACCTTTCAAGCTCCTCCTCGGTGTCGTCGTTTATCGAGGCGGTGGCCGTGGCACAGCAATTGTCGCCACTGGAATCTAGATCGGATAGCGCCGGATACAATCGATCACCCGTATGGGATTTCCTGGCACGCTTCGACTCCTCGTCAATAACATCACCAGCTGCAAAATGAGAGRGAGAGACAGAGAAGCTGGCTTTAGAGAATTTCTGTGGATTGGGCTTGCTTGGCAGCTGCTTACGTGAGCGCCGCTTGCTGCTGGCCGTGGCCATTGGCGGTGGTGGTGGCGGCGGCATGGGGCGCACCACTTTGCTGCTGACAGGTGGCGCAGGCGGAGGAGCCACTGGAGGAGCCACTGTTGTTAAGAGTTCCTTTTGCTTATTGAAACGATTGGCTATGATTTGCATATCCTCCTGTCGCTGTCTGTCAATGTCTTTGATGCGATTCTCCGCGCTGCTCTGGGCAGAGGCCACCAAGGCGGCCACTTTGTCGCGCAACTTGCTCTCAGGCTTCGGCTGTGGCTTGCTGGCTTGACTCTGTTGGCTGGCCACGCTAACTGGATGTGCTGCAAAGACAAATGAGGTCAACTGAATGGCTTCTTAGACATCAGACATTTAAGCAGCACTTACCCTTGGGCTGCTCCTCCTCTACCACCACTGCTCGTAGCTGGCTAATGCTGGGCGCCGTTCCAATTGGCGCCTTGGGCAACATAGCCTTGGCATTGCCTGTCTCGAAGAGTTTCATGCGCTCCTTCAGCGACAGCTCACACGGATCCTTTTGATTGCGCTGCGCTGCCTGCGTTTGACCATTGTTTGCTTTGCTCTCGAAGATGGCCGCACGGCCAGAGACGAGGCCAGCTTTGACTTGGGCAGCGGGCACAGGCACGGATTTGGGAGCCGGAGCGGGCGCACTGGCTGCGGCGCTAAATGTTTTGGCCACCTGGCTGACGGCAGTAGATTTCTCGGGCAATGGTGGTTTTGCAGTGCTTGTGGCTGTGGATGCAACTGTTTCCGTTGCTGTTGCAACTGATGGTGCTGTGGATTCCTCCTGTTTGGCATAATCGTAGGTGTGCTTAACCGTAGAAGATTCGCGTCGCTGGAAGCCTTGCGCCTCCAATGAGCTCAATACCTTGGGATCCCATTTCAATTGTTTGGTCTTGCCGCTTGTTGCATCCACGGCATCTGCTCTGGCCGGACGACTGGGTAAATCTGGCTTGGGCGGCGGCACTGCATCCAGCAGCGGTTGATGCACATCGTGATGTGCCGTGTCATCTTCCCACTGGTTAATCGTGTCCGCCAACGCGGCCAGCTTGCCCAGACGCTGCTTGCCACGTCGCGGACTACGAGACACTCGATCCACGTTGTCCTCATCGTCGGCATGGAACTGCGCCTCGGTGCGATGTATGGGCGAGGACAGGTCATCCGTGTTGGAGTAGAGGGCGCCCATACGCTGCAGTCGACTGCGCGAGGTGTCTCGCAGTCGGGCCAAAGGCTGATTAACAGGCGCCTCCAAATCACCACCAGCAGCACTGGCTTTACTTGGGATTAGGGCTGCAGTCGGCTGCTGCTCCTGCTCTTCATCCTCGTCGCTGCTCATATCCTGCTCCTGTATTTCCACTTGCACCTAAACGTGGCGACAGCGCGCGTAAAAGTACAAACACAAAAACAAACACATACGCAGGCAGACAGAGCGAGAGCAACAGAGAGAGAGGGAGAGAAAGAGAGAGTTGTAGCAAAATGCCAAGACAAAGACAAAGCGCAAAAACATCCACCATACGAAAGCGTAAGGCAAAATGCATGTGGAAAAAATAAAAACGGCTGGGAAAAAACTTACCCCAATTGGCTGGGCGCTGGTTATGTTTATCTCGATGCCCATTTCCAAATTCTCCTTGTTCACCGCTGCATAGTGACGCAGCGGCTTGGTGGGCGACGCCGAAAGCGTTGCCTTGTCGAGGACAACAACTTTGCCAGCTGCGCTACTAGAGGCACTGCTTTCAGTTGGCGCTGATGCTGATGCTGATGCCGATGCGGATGTCGATGTCGATGATGACGTTGTCTTAGTTGTTGCTGCTGGCGTCGCTTCGCTTGTCAAAGTGCATTCAGCTAATGGAAATTTGCTGGCATTTGTTATGCCGAGTGCGCGACTGCGCTGTTCGGCCTTTTCGAGCATGCGCTGCAATTATGAAATTCACATCGAATGCAGTTAGAAGACAATCATTTTCATTGTTTGCTTTGTTACGTTGTACCTGGGTAAAGGGATCCATTGTTGTTGTTGTTGTTGTGGCGGATGCAAAATTCTAATTACTTCGATCACTTATCTATAATTTATTCTCTTGCACTGGCACTTGTATGTAATTAGTTATTTATTTATTGCTGGTTAGTCGCGAACACTATACTTTTTACTTTTAAAAACGAATTATCTTAGTATCTTTTCATGGATGCACGTCATTCGAAATTTGTGCGCGTCGCTTCTGTTTTTTCGCTCGTTCGCGACGTTGGGATTTTAAATGGACAAGCGTCGGTATGGCAGAGTTATCGTTAGGGTGGCCACAGTATCGAACAACAGTCCCGATCGATCAGCGTCTGTTAAAGTGCAGCCGCTTAACATTGCGCTGAATTTGATGTTAGGAGTGTTGCAAACAGTTGTTTCTGTATAGTTTTGTAATTTCTGGCATTTTTAACTAAGCAGTTTTATAATTTTTTATTAAAAATTATTTGATATATAGAAACATTAGTATCGAAGTAAAAAGTAAATGAAGATCACGAAACACTTTGCGCTTTTGAATTTAACAGCTACGAACAAGCTACAGCAATAAATGCACAGTTGATGCTTTTAAATTTAACAGTCATCTGACATCTACAGCTATGCATCTTTAACATAAGGTGCTCTGTTGTCATCGATAAGTTTTATGAGTGGCAGCTCCATGCGATGTTTTTAAGTGGCAGCACCAAAACAAAACGCGAGAGGCTGATGGACATTTAAATGTTGATAATAATAATTTAATGAATACTTAAGCCAATTGGATAAATAAACATATGCATTTAATTATATAATATTGGTGCAAACGTAGGTAATGTGCGAATGGTTTGTGGCTTATGTGCTGCACAAGAGTAGTTCAGACACTTGTGCAACGTGCGTTGCTGTCAGTGCTGCCAGTTCTGGCTATAAAAATGCTAAATGATTCCCTTTTCAGAAATGACCGAGCAAACAGTAAACCACTTGTGGAACTGTGCCAAAGAGCTCAGCGTAGAAACCCACACCGAACGCTTGCTCAAATCATACTATATGTAAGGCAGATGATTTAATAGTAATGATGATTATAGTAAACCTTTGTTTCCACAGCAATACAAGTCGCAAGTTAGCCCGCCACAATGTCCAGTTACCAGAGGAGAACATCGGACCCGCTCGCATGTGCGCCCGTTGCGGCAGCCAGTGGAGCGATGGCCAGTACAAGTTGCATCTGCAGCCGCAGCGCTTGGCCAGCAATGCCAAGCGACGCAGGTTGATTGCCCAGCTGGACACGGTCAAGGCCAAGCAGCAGCGTGGAGGCCTCAGCACTGGGGCCAGAAAAAGAGCCAAATGGCTGAAGAAGTGCATGGCCAGCAAAATGGTTAGCAGCATAAATCCTTTATCCTAATGTCAACTTATCATAAATCACTTTTGCAGGCGGTGCAGTGCGAGCTTTGCCAACATAAGACAATGTTGCCGCTGGAAAAACCAAAGAAACGCGACAAAGCTAAAACAATGCAAGCAGCAGCAGCAACAACTACAACAACAACAACAGTGAGGAACAAACAACATAAAAATAAAGACATCAATGCGGGGCTAAAGCTAAAAATGTCAATACAGCAGAAACAAACAACAGCAACTGTAGCGAAGCAATCAACAACAACAACAGCGAATTCTCAAAGCAACAAACAAAAGAACAAAAAGAAGAAGAAGCAACAACAGCAGCAAACGAAAACAACGCCAACGCCCGTGCAAAAAGTGCAATCGAAGACACAAAAACAAAACGCACTGCTGCAGTTGGCAGCGCAGCTTAAAACGCACGCGTCACAAAACGCCAGTAGAACGCAGCAAAATCGCCTACAAGCGTTTCTTAAGTAAAGATTTTGTTTTCAGTAGAAGAAATTGGTTATTTTGAATGACTAGAGTTGTTCATTAAGTGTTAGTTAAAATGCGTGTAGTTCGCGAAAGCAGGAAGAAAACACCGTAGCGCGTTTAAAAACGCTTTAAAGCCGCAAGCAAACGTTTGTCAAATAGAAAAAACTCCTCGTAAAGTACAAGCAACAAGTTATTTGTATAAGCTGATAATTAGCAACAATAAACAAAAACGTAAAAAAAAAGCGCTCCTCTGTTGGCAGCGCAGCTTAACTTGCTCGCGGCTGAAACCGCCAGAAAAACGCATCAGAAACGCGTGCTCGTGTTTCCCCAAGTAAAAACGTCGCATAAAGTAAAAAATCTGGTTGTTTTTGAATGAAAAGACTTGTAATTAAGCATTAGCAAAATACGTGTATGGAACAAGAGCGAGCATTGTGGCATGAATCAGTGGCACTGATTGTTGCAACCGGCTTGGAGCTGGCCGTTTCGCTTCTGCTATATATCTGGGAACCTGTCCGTTTCGGCCCTGCACGCACACACGTAGTCACGCACTTGGCTATCGAGTGGCGGCCCAGTCCAAGGTTATCCAATTCTTTTAATTTATTTCAAGCAACATTTAATTAAAAATTGAGTTGTTTACCTGTGCAGCACGTCCTTCAGGGCACCAGCTAGATGGAGCCGTAGCTGCAGCAGATGTAGTTGTATCTCTATCTCTTCATATGTATATGTATCTCTATCTTTAGCTGTCTGTTTATCTGCAACACACGCACACAGGCACACACATCCTGGAGCTGGGCTTTTAAGCCGGGCTCCGATTTCTAATAACATCTGCCACTGCTCATTCTTTTTTATTTACTTCTTTTTTTGGCTGGCAATTTCTTAGAAGATTTCTGGTTTGTGTGTTGTTGTTTTAGTCGGTTTCTTATGGGTTGGCGAGCCTGTTTGCTTGGCCAAAATTGGCCAAGACGGCAACGTCGATTCTCAAATGGCCAAAAACGCTTGCATTTAAATTTACATTTTCAGTTTTATGCAACAAAACTCACTTTGTCGTTTCCCCCAAAAATAAAAACAAAACTACCTACCGCAACTGGTAGTAGTCGACCTGACGATACCCTGTAGACTACTACAATATATTAGAACATACAATGTTAGCTGAGCCCGCAACTACATCGACACAATCATTTACATATGTACATTACTGTCTTTCGGCTGTCGATGCTCATTACCTGTCTCCCTCCCCCTCTGACATACACTTGCACTGACATATAAGGCTATCCGCTCACTTCCCTGTGCACTGCCTGCTGAGTATTAAAACTCTGCGTTCTACAAAGAAAGTGAGCAGCAACAAGAACAACTACAGCTCCAACAGCAACAGGCATCGGCTTCGTGTGTGCCTGTTTGGCTGTTCGTGCGTGCGGCTTCGGCTTGCTCTTCGGCATCGGCTTCGGCTTCGGCTCCCCCACGTACATATGGTGGGGAAGCCAACAGAGCGGCAGCCGCTCTAGTCATTTGGCTGCGCTGCTGTTGCTTTTCAGTCAGTTGCGTTCGTGTGATTCACGGCCGCGCACACAGAGTCGCGCTTTAAAATTCGCATAGTGCGCGCAAAGCGCTCAATTGCTTGCGGTCGCGCCATCTCGCTCGCTCGCACACAAACGTATTCGCAATGAAAAGCGACTGCGTCTGCGTTCGCATTGGTTCTACGGAGAGCGCTGTTACAGAAAAGCTGTTGTTGTTAAGCTTAAGCAGAAAAGGTGTCAACGCCGGCGTCGACGCTAACGTCAACGTCAACGCAAAGAGCAAGAGCAAAGTGTATGGGTAAAAACAAAGGCGCAGTGTGACAAAGAATCAAGTGAAAAACCGGATGCGAAATTTACAAGCATAAATCAAAAAATAAAAAAGAAAGGGGCGAGAGAAATAACAAATCGAATACCAAAGTTGATTTTCAATTTGAATTTGAAGACTGCAGCGCAGGAAATGCAGTTTGCATTTTGATAAATGACCGGAAATGCAGACAGACAGGCAGCAGCGCAGCGCAGCGCAGCGACTGCGGCGCAGCTGACACGCCTGCGCTGTAGCCATATAATCTAAACAATTCCAAATGCCGAAGCCTCAAATCAAATATTTACATTGAAAAATAACTTAAGCAGAACCAGAACCTGAGCCAGAAGAGAAAATACAGTAAACAGAAATTCAATATGTTCAACTGCAAGTGTTAATTAGCGATAGAAATTGTTTATGGCTCAGTGCAGAAAAGAAAAGATATCAAATAAAGCAAATCGAATAACATTTGCCAAACTAATTTCTTTTATGTGCCATGAACAGAAAGAGGGAAAGAGAAAAAAGTAAAAGTTCTAACGGAGAAATGCTAACATATTCCATACTTCTTTCTCATATGCATATATCTCTTTTTTTATGGCCAACGACACGCGTTGCCTTATTTTTATTTATTTTTTTTCTTGCGGATGAGTCACAATTAAAAAGGTTGGGCCAGAGACCAGACTCAGCTTGGCTACATAAAACATTTGCCAAGTAGCAGCAGTCACTAGACCCCCACAAGACTCGCTCCCACTCTCCCCCTCCCTCTCTGGCTCTCCCTCTAGCTCTCTAGCAATCTCTCTGTGTACACAATCTATTCCTACTTTTAACCACAAAAGGCGACACAAACAAGCAGACAAATAAACCGCAGAACAGACGCTCAGACGACAGACATGTCTGTATAACCTAGAGGCAGACACACACACACACACACCAACCCCTACCATTGTGCCTCTACCCCCTCAGCCCATGCCCAGGTGCTAAGCGGCGCTGCATAAACTAAGTATCGCATTATGAAAATCAGCCCAAAGCCATTTCGTAATAACATTTAATGACACATATGTATAAACACACACAGTTATAGGTTGACTGCAGTCACAGAGCGTACCAAATATACATATACATATATATTCCTATACATATGCAATATATAAATTCGTATAGAGCTAATGATGAACAAAAAAAAAAATATAACGTCATCAACGCCGCGTTGATTTTCCACAGGCGCCAAGCGAAGCGTGCAACCAAATAAAAGCAACAAAACCACGAAAACAAAACAGACAATACACAAAATAAAAAAATAAAAAAACTATATATAATATTTTGGAATGCAACGAAACGATCTATCCAATAGATACTAGACTAAGCAAACTAGTAGTAATCGAAAAGCTTGAAAAGAATTTGCTTCCAGAACTGAGCTCATGCCTATAGCTTAACAAGATTATTATACAGGTATTACACAGACATATATCTAACCAGCAAATATCTGATTATTACAAATATAATGTAGAAAATTCATTTTTAAAGAACACTAAAATATTTTAAAAATCTCAAAGATAATAAATTATATCTTTACAAAATGCACATCTAGAAAAATTATATTAATAAACATATACATAGACACGATTCAATTCAGCAGCTATCAGATGGCATATTACAGTTATCACATGAGCCACAATTCCACAATCTGATTCTTTGTTTAAACGGAAGCATATTTACTTAGCATAAGTTGATCAGAGTCAATGAACCCCACACAGATACCCATTACAAAAGTTCTTGTTTAAAAATCAAGAAGCATAGCCTACAGCAGACACCAAATATGGTGAACAGCTGGCATTGTCTTGCAAATGAATCCTACAGGCAATTGACTAAAATTTTGATAGAGAGGCAGACAGGCAGGTAGAGGGACAGGAAGTCAGTCACTGCCCATAAGTGTAGCCACATTTAATGCAGGGTATCATTTGAAGCTAGCATTGAGCACAGAATCTGATTATTCTAGATCTTGTTAAACTGATCTCTCTGAACTGATCTATTTATAAACTCTGAACGGACCATAGCATGGATTGATTTCTGTTCTCTCTGTGGGAGACAGAATTGCTTGTAACTTCATTTATTTATTTCTGCTCACTCATTTCGAAATGAGTTTAATTATTTTTTGTATTCCCTCGAGAAACGCGCTGAGCAAGTGAAATTGTTAATAATATTCATTTTTTAATATTTACTGCAATTTTTATAGAGAGTGCTTCGCATTGCATGTGATTTAAGAAGAACTGTGAGCTACTTTATTTTCACAGACAACTGTTAATTGCTAACAAAAACAGCAACAACAAAAATCAACAATAAAAAAAATAATAAAACATATACAAATCCAAAATCAAACGATCTACAAAAAGCCATATAAACAAACATTAACACGGAACGCTTTGAATTAACGCGTTTTATGATTAATCATGGATATCGACTCAAAAGCCTCAAAACGCATTGAAATTCAACAATTTTTACTGGGTAAGTCAATAGCAGCTAAACAAAATAGTTAATAGTTATTTAAATGTGCATATTAAATGGCTATACATAAATTTGCATATGCATGGGTATGAGAGTCCGTTGCAGGGCATGCGTGATTCGGTTATGCCTTGAAGTTTGAGTATTAAGTGCTAAAGCTGTTATTTATTATTTGAATAAGTTACAGTATTTGTTTATAATATAAATTAGGTATAGCTAGGTGTCGATCTTATTAGAAAGTGCCTATCTCTGGAGACCCTTGTGCATAATAGAAATATAGTAATACATATTTTACAAAAATATATTACAAATTAATTAAATATTTAATGAATAGAATACATCACAATATTGTTAGAATGAGGTAGCAAATAAAAATAATTGAGTTAAAATTCTTTAATATTTGAAATATGTAGAAGATTCCCTATATTATTTGTTAATTATCTTTGTAGAGCTTGATAAATGGTTTCTCTCTTTATTTCTCTGACTGGCTGCCTTTCTCTCTCTCTTCCTCGATTTCCCTCCATCTCTATCTCCCCCACATTAGCTTCTGGTTTCTGTATTTTTGGCCATCTTTAACTCCCTCTCGCCCCCTTTCCATAATTCGTAACTCATCGACCCTAACGAGCCTCTCGAATAGACTCAACCTCCAGATCCTCTTCATCTCCATCTTCTTCAACCACATTTGTGCTTAATGCCCTAGCAGATGTCGCTCTTGAGCGTTTATTAAACCACGTTTAGCGCAGTTTTATAAGTGCAGGGTATTAAAACAACATTATTAAACAATTATGTGTACAGCTAAAGAGAATATTAAAGTAGTTACGCATTAACCGCATATTTATCTAGATAATTTAGACGGCATTGTTAATTAAGCCCAACACAGAACAACAACAACAACCACAAGTAAACAAACTTGAGAGTCCAAACTACTTGTAGAAATGTTCATGTGCCTCGACTCGCCCTGCGGCCGTATAATTTTCTTGTACAGCGAAACATTAATAACCCTCAGATACAATATAGTTTATATACATATATATTGACTCATGCCATGGACCGTCTACGATCTGGAGCTGAGAAGAACAAGAGAAGAGAGATGGATGCTGAGGCTGTGGCTGTGGCTGTGGCTGAGGCTGAGACCGAGGCGTAGACTGAGGCAAAGTCTTTGGCTCTTAACTTGACTGCGAGCTTAATGCGCTTTGTTCTTTTCATGCTTCAACTTTTGTACATTGTACAAATTTTATTATATTAAAACTCATTTTTCGGCGCGTTTTTTGGCCACTCTTTCGCTGGTTCTTTTAGGCATACATATTTATATGTATAATATATATGTATATATGTATACTGTATATGTATGTAGCTTTTGCTTAAAGCCCTTCTCTTAACGCGTCGGCAGTTAAGTCTGCAAGCTTTAATGCTGGTCTGACAGGGTATAACGATTCTGTGGCACAATATGTCGCGGTCTTATATAAATACATACGTTATCATATTCTTTACACAACAATTTTTATTGATAACTAAGTCGGCCTTTGGTTTCTTTGAAATCTAAAAAATAAAAACTAAATTCTAAATTTGTGTAAAAATTTGGTTTTATCTTTAAATGAAATTTAATTTAAGCAAAATATGGAAAAGTAACCTCAAAATAATTATATATAAAATAATTCGCTATTTATCTGAATTGTGAAAGTGTAATTGGCATTCGTTGTAGTTGTTGTTGCTATTTCATTTAAGTCATTTGATACTAATTACGTTTGTCTGGGCCATTTCTTTGCGTGTTTTTCAATTTTAACAAGATTTCTGGCGATTTTTGTTTTAGTTTGTTTTAGTTGTAGTAGCTGTGTTGTCAATGTTTACCGTTAAACCTACTTAAGCAGCATGAGAAGGTAGCCACTAGGGAAACTGGATTGTTTTGCTTTTATTATTTTCTCAGTTTTAATTTCTTATTTTATTGTTTTTGTTTTCTCTGCCGCCCAGTGAAATTGCTTTTAATTGCTTGCGGTCAACTCGCAGTTGACTCTTTAGGCTCTTCATATGAGGTCATAGGCATACACTACTATAAGTTCATATCTGATATGCCATATATATGTAGGTACATATGTACATAAGTATGACTCATATGAGTTGCTTAACCCCTCGCTGAGCATTTGAGGCAATTGAATGCCATTTAGTTCAATGGAGCGTATTAAATTGAATGCGTTCGCCTTATTTAGCTTTCAGTTAACATTACCCATTTCTAGATGCTCCTCTTGTACAACTTCTTCCTCTTCGTCTTCAACTTCTACGTCTTCTTGCAGATGTGCGTGCTCACTTTCGTGCCTCGCTAGCGACATCAGAGTATGAGAATACTTCGAATCTGTTTCATGTGACGGCAGCGGAGCAGACGCAGGAGTTGCTGCAGCGCTGTGACCAGCTGCTGGCCAGCTATGCAGACGATCAGGCGGCAACAACAGCAGCAGCAGCAGCAGCAGCAACAGCACCAACAACATCAGCAAGAGATGCCACAGCCACAACAGCATCCATTAAATCGAATGGCTGCAGCGAAGTGGGCGCCGAGACCGGTTGCTATCTGGAGATGATGTCCTCAACATCAACAGCAGCAGCAATTGCAACGCCAATTGCAGCCTCCAAGACTTCGCGTGAGTGCCAAAGCAGAGTTAGATAGCTATAGAGTCTACAGACTGTGGTAGTTATCTATTAGCCAGCATGCAAGTAATTGACTTTAATTGCAGTGTCCGCCTCGAGGGAGTACATCGATCTGAGCAGCAGTCAATCGTTGAACAGTGATAAAACCTTTCGTTGCTCTAGCAATCAGCATTTGGAATTGGAGCAGCATCCTCATTCACAGCATTCACAGCAGCACCAGCAGCAGCAGCAGGAGCAACAGCAACAGGACCAGCAGATCTATGACATTTGCCAAAATCCAGGAGAAGAGGAAACCCAGCAAGTTTTCGCGCACGAACTGTTCATCAATTGCCCCTACGCTGATCTGCCCGCTGGGCACCTGGCCTTGCATCGCTCCATCAAATTCGGCCAATTGCAGCGCATCGAGAAACGCCTGTTCTTCGATCAGACCAAGAAATACTACTGCGGCATCCTGAATGATTGGATGCTGTGCTATGCGGATGGTCCGACGTCTTGTCGGCCGAGCAGCAGCCTCTATCTGAAGAGCTCGGCCATTGAGATTGAGCATTTTGGAGAGGGCAAACGGCGTGAGGTTTGCTTTCAAATCACCACCGCTGATCCGAGCAAGAAGTTCGTCTATCAGGCGAACAACGAGGTCGATGCCAAAGAGTGGATACACGCCATTGAGGCGGCCATACGGGGCGAGGCCGTTGCCCAGGCAACGCTTAAGTCCTTACGGAAACTGCCCACGCCGCCGGTCATGAAGCGACTCAACTTTACGGCCTCGGCAACGACAACGGCCACCAACAGCGACAGCATCTACGAGGAGCCGTCGCCCATATATAACTTTGGGGAGGCGCTGACACCGCCACGCCTGCCCGAAAAGTGCAACAGTCCGAGTGCATTGGCCAAACGTTTCGAATACGACATACCAAAGTGCCCGCCCCAGCCGCTGGTCATGGACGAGGAGCCAGCTGGCGGTGAGGTGGAAACAGCTGAGCTGCTCAATGGTGGTGCTATTGCAAGTGGTAGTGGTGCTGGCGGTGCTGGTGCTGGTGTCGAGCTCAAGGCGCAGCCACAGCCATCCAGTCTGCATGGCAATTTGGCGCTAGACTTCCAGGCCAAGGTCAAGACGGTGCACAGCGAGCTCTCTAGTCAGCTGACGAGTCCGGAGCGCTTGAAGAAGGCTGTCAAGAAGAGCTACTCGTGCGGCAACCCCAACAGCGAACCGGAACTGCTCTCCCTAACCAGCGGCAGCAGCAACTGCAGCAGCTGCAGTCCGGCCACACTCAAGGACCAAAAGAAGCAGCGCAAGGCAACGCAGACGCCCCCGACGAGTCCACAGAAGACGCCCGGCAAGGATTGCGACAAGCTGGCACGCAACTGGTTTCTCAGTCGCCTCAACAAGACCAGCTCGACTCAGAATTCCCGCTCGACGGGCGGTGGAACGAGCAGCCCCACCAGCATACCGGCCAACGCCAAGTGCAAGCAGAGCGAAAAGGAGAATCTGCTCAATGGATTGGATATGTGCGATGGCAGCTACGATGGAGCGCCCAACGATCTGCAACAGTATCAACAGCAGCAGCATCAGCAGCACCAGCAGAGCAGCAATTCAACATCGCCCTGCCTGAAAGCGGAGGCCAAGAGCAAGGTGAACATGATCATCAATCAGTTCGAGAGCAGCGGCCATCTGTCGACCATGTTCAGCGTGGAGGCATTGGCGGCCAATGCGCTGGCCTCCCTGACGTCCTTCTGCGAGAGCGACAACTGCAACAACTATGAGCCAATAATGCCGCTGGCTACGCCGCCGAGCAGCTATCTCAAAAAAGTGTAGGACGTCGCATCCTGGATTATCATCATTGATATAGAAATATATATATATATATATAGCACAGATTTATAAAGAGTTAGGTTAGCGACAAAACACATACTTTTCATGTTTATCCTTTCTCATTGACATAAAATTTTAATATCAAAACATAAATTGGATATATACATTGGTATATATATATATATATATTTATCCTTTCTCATTGACATAAAATTTTAATATCAAAACATAAATTGGATATATACATTGGTATATATATATATATATATTATATATGTATATTAGAGGSGGTATTTATGCATTTAAGTGTGAGTGTGTCTGAGAGTGCATGTCAGAGTGTGCAGAATTGCTTGAAATAGCGCGAGGTAGTTAATGCTATATCGTTGGAGCAGTCCCGCTTTACTATATAATACGCGTCGAGTAGCGTGAGGTGGGCATACGTAGCTGAGTGCCTGCACGCATTTGAGATTCAACTACAGCCAACAGAGCTTCGCGTTTCCGTTCGTCGGGCACCAATACGATTTTGGTGTTCGATTCCTTCGGTGAGAAGAGACCCATTATGCCTTTGCTTTCGCGGCTGATCACCTTGAACTGCATGCCGCGGCCATTGTTCACAAAACTGTCCACTTCCTCCCACTGATACGACCACAAGGACTGAGCAGCCGAAGAGAGAAGAGAATAAATATTATATAAATGCATATGGAAATAGGCCACGCTTCACTCACATTCCAGACACCAAACATATCGTTGCGCTGCGCATAGATCATTCGATGATTGGTTATTAAAAGGTACTCGGCTCGGCGCACAATCTCCTCGCAGTGCACAAAATTGTCCGTTTCCGCATACTTGCCTTTGTCCACCTCCCTGCCAAAGCAACAAATACGATTAATATATGACATATACATGGGAATATTGTTGTGAATCCTACTTTAGTATCTTGTTGCCTAGAGCTTCGCTGTAGCAATAGGGACGCAGCACATAGTCGTAATGTAGGAAGCGTGTCGGTCGCAGGCGTCTGGCATCATCGATGCCCACGGTGGCGCGTTTGACTGCCTCAAAGCTGCCGCTGGCAAAGTCCACAACACCAGCCGTTGGTCGCGCCACCAGGCCGATGGCGCCCTTGCCCAGGCCCTTGAAGAAGCCCTCCACGCCCTCGTCGCGTGCGCCAGCAACGGGCTTAGTAACCACACCCGTCACGCCATCATAAAAGCCCTGCGAGTACAAAAAGATTAGTTCAAGTTGCAATTGCTGTGCCGGCTGAGTTCTCACCATGACCAGACCCTTGCCGCTGCGTGCGAGCCCCTCATGGAAATTCTTTGGTTTGTTGTGCATGCCCCTTCGACGTTTCTTTTGGTATTTTTCATCAAAGGTCAAGGCAGCTAGACCTTTGCCCATGGCGCCAGTGATTCTAGTGGAAGGAAGATGAATTAATTAACTGATGCTGGCTATATGACTCCACTAGTAACAACTTACTTGGACATAGCGCCCGCAGCACCGCCCACGGTGTGGCCAAAGAGCGACTTGACGCCCAGCACCAGACCCTCAGCAAATTCGCCAGGTCCTTGGATGGCGCCCTGCAAACATGATTAGGTAGCTTAAAATAGTCAAGGCTTAACTTTTGGTTAGCATTTTGCTCACCTGGAAAGGTTCGTAGAACAAGTCCTCAACACCTTTCTTAAGACCCACGACCAAACCGTATGGATTCCCCAGTACATCCAGACCCAGAGCCAAAACATAGAGCTGTTTCAGTGCCTGGCCCTTATAGTGAGACGTCACCTCGTTGACGAGTTGATGTTGGGTAAAGAACTGAAATTCGCGCTCGAAGAAGGCCAAACGGAAGACGACATCATTGACATCCGTTAGCGTTACGCCCACACCTTGGACCAGTGTACCGAGGAAGCCAGGCAGTGAGATTGCATCGGCGCCAGCCATGGAGAAGCTAACATGAATCTTCAGTGGACCCAAATGCAGGTTATCATAGTAATTCTTCTGCTCCTGCTGCGAGTGCTCCTCGAAGAACGTGGACAATGGCAACTCAATGGAGTCCACATCGCTGCGGAACAGCTTGGCCGCTTGCTCATCGGTCACTTCAGTCGAGAACATCTCCGCAATGGCCGTTAGAAACACAATGTCCACCTTAAAGTGGAACTCCTGGATCAAGATGGATGCATACTTGTACTGCTTCACTTCCGAATTGGGTATCACGCGCTGCACTATGCTGCATTCGATGAACGGCTTCATCGATGTGGTTGTGGCCACACTCTTTGGCGGAGCGATCGGTGCCAACACCACATTGAATATGGGATCAATTAATTGATTGTCCACCTGTATGCGATTAATTTTCACATGCAATTGATTCTGGAACGGAGATGACCTGAGCGACACCCAAATAGCTGGATAAAAGTTGCGACGCAAACGCCGTGCAATGTGCTTCGTGATCGTCATTGTGTTGAAGTCCAGCTGCAAATCGTTTATAGTGTGTATAAAGAAATGTCTGTATATGTATGGAGTTATCCATTTCGTATACGCACCGGAAATTTGTTATTCAGCAGATATGTCTTGACCTCCTTGACGGACTTGTCCACCAGATAGCGCTGATACTCGGCTTCAATCAGCTCTGAATCGTGTATGGTCATCTCCTTGAAACGTTTCTTGTTCGGCTTTCTTGACTCCCACACTATGCCCGAACTGGTAATGCCCAAATAGAGTATGTCCAGGGCAGCCTCATTGTTAACCACCGAGATGCCGATGCCATGTATATGCAAATCAATGCTACGCGTTATGGTCTGCAGTGCTGCAGTGGTCTCCGTTCGCTTGGCGACCGCCTCAACTTCGGTGACCAACAGGACACGCTGCATGCCATAAAGGAAGGACACCCAGTAGGCTTTGCTGTCGTTCTGCAGACTGTAAGAAGCAATTAGCAAAACATAGCACAACCTCGCATTTGCATTCCACTTACGTAACCGTATCGATCTCGTCGCGTTTCAGATCGGTCTCCTGTTTATCCTTGCCAAATACCAAAATTTTAGGACCCGTCGGATCGTCCCAGGCAAATAGGACACATTGCTTCGGCTTCAGGGTGTTAATTATTTCGGTGTTCTTCTCATAGTAGATCAGATCCTTGGTGGTGTGATTGATGATCAGGCCGGGTGCCTCCGACGGCTGGTATTCGGTGAATGTCAAGTAGACGCCGCCCTCTGTGGACTGCACATCCACATTGACGCCGCCGTAGGGACTGTTGGTCAGCTTGAGCAGCGTACAGGTCGCCTCGGTGTAGTCAAACGCTGGCGTCACCTGTTGACCTACGCGCAGAATCAGCTTACGATGTGTCTCGCTCTTGGGCCACAGTGGTTTATACTCGAGCTCTTCGACAGATAGCCAAGGATCGCCGGGTCGATTCAGCTCTTGCAATTCGATCGTATGGCGGCATTTATTGTGCACTATGTAGAACGGTATGAACGTGATCTGTTTGGTCAGCGAATTGTTTGTCAAATGATTGTGTACGCCGATTTGGAATTTCTGATTGTTTGCAGTACAGGTAACGCCACCAATCGAGCCCGCCACGTCCAATGGAATCTTCTCACTCCACTCCCCACTCTCGATGCGGATCGCTGCCTTCTTCTTGTCGAAGAACATCTTATCGCGGAAGGCTAACAGTATGGGGCCGGAATACTCGGGCGGATGATACAGCATTTCCACAGATGACAAATCCGATTTGTAGGTAAGCATCTTGCCCGTCTTATTGATCATCCAGTACGGGCTATACAGGGTGAGTATAATTTTGCCAGATATTTTGCTACAGCTGCAATGGTCAATTTCAATAGTATTTGTATTTGGTTATTTAAATATGATGAAATTAAAGACGAGAATAATTACCGCACAAATAGATCCATTTCCATTTTAACATCTGAATCATATGAGGAAAATGTCCATACGGTTACGTCATCACTGGGATTGGGAATTTCAGAGGCATGGGACCAATCCTTCTCCAGATATTGCAAAAGCTATTAAGCAAATACGCAAATAATTATAAACATATTTGTGGATTTCTAGATCTAGATTAGACTACTTACACGTATAACTAGCACACTCTTTGCTTCTTTGCCGTTTGCGGTCATACGAACCGTGGGCAAATGCAGGATATTCCCGGGATTCACCTCCTTTTCGCCAAAATCTAAAAAGTCCTGCTTCTCGTAACGCTCTTCTACGTCAGAATTCCCTGTCGATCCGCGAGCTGCAGAGTCGGCGTTAATTTGGCGACCCAAACAGCCAGCCACAGAGACTTTGATGTCAATGGGCAAACAATTTCGCAGGGATAGTGGAGGACGTATGTGAACCATATAATGGGCACTTCGCAGTCGATACTTGTTGGTGTTCTCGAAGAAAATCTCATGCTTGCGTCGCTGAAAATTCATGTTGAGCGGCTCGAATGCGTCGATGGGTTCACATTGCACTTGGCTTTCATAGTTCATATCTGATGGATTTATATACCAGGAGAGGCTCTGAACGGACCTGTGATAGCCCTTCACTGAAAAGTACAGCTCTTTATCACTTGCATAGATGGCGTGCAGCGGCACATTGAAAACCTCATTAGGTTTCGCGACGCCAACACGAATGAATCGATTTTCTGTGTCGTGGCGTCGATGCACTACAATTGGTCTCGTAAAATGGTTCAAGATCTACAAGAGAATTTCATATATATATAWATATAAGGAATTGAGACAATTTCATTGATGAAGTTACGTACGCTTAAAACGCCATGGATATTGATTTTGGTGGTGCCATACTCCAACTTGACCTGGGAGACAATGGCCCACTGTTCGGGCAGAGCGGTGTTAGGTAGCGGAAAGTAGCGCGTGTCGGCTTTACTAACGGGCAGCGCAAGTTCATCACTTAGATCACCCAGCTGTGGACAAAGAAACCACGTACATATCAGAGGATTACTAGCTGTGAGTATATGTTATGCAATTTACCGTCACATAGAGATTATAGTCGTCGATCTGGCTTTCGGACATCGTGCTCATGTCCTTGGTTTGCAAATAGGCTTTGCCGCCAGGCGAAATCGTACAGCTTTTTATGTCGACTGGATCGACAAGCTGATCATCTGGGCTGTTTGATGCGTGCAGAACCAAAGCGTTGCTTGTAAGATTGCCGCCACGATGCACCTCGTGCAGCGTAAAGACACCGTTCTCCAAATTCAGTGTGATGTTAAAGCCCGTATCATTGATGACCACATAAGGAGCGGTAACCTCTGGCTTTTGGATGCCCTTTTTGTCGATGGCCTGCGAAAAGGCCTCGCCCAATTCACTGAGCAGGCTAAGGCATGTTTTGCTAACCGTTATTTCTAGATTCTCCTTGGAATGTATGCGAATGTTCATTGCTGTATCCTCCTGTAACTCATCAAAGTCAGTTTCCATCTTTTCAAAGCTCATATCGAATTGCAATTCCCAGGGTATATACTCTCTGATGCCATTTCGTCCCATAACCTCGTTAAGCTCTATAATCGGCTCCCACTCGGCCATGAATTGATTGTAATAGTTCTGCAAGACATGAAATATTTGTTAATAATATATACAATAACTGAGTAATAAAACTATCATCTACCATATTGAGTGTTAAGGAGCCATGGGCAGTAAAATTACTGCTCCAGTTATTAAAGACGGCCGTCATGCGTGTGTCTAGTGAAAGGAGAGGCTTCGTATAGTATCCCTGTCCCGATTCAATCACAAGAGTTATGCTGGGCATCTCAATCACGCATTTCTCGGTCTTCTCCGCATCACTTTGGAGCGACATCGGTATTTCTTTCGCTTCGATGGCCTCCTCCACTTTTGTGAACCAATAGGTGTTTGAATGGAACGGTTTTGGATACCAAATCTTGGAATAGTCCGTCGCATCTCTATCAATGGCTGCCTTCTCAGCTGCGCCGCTCGTAATGCTCAGCATCGCTTTGTTAAGCAGCTCAATCGTTGTCGGCGAGATATTAATGATAATATCACTGAGCTTAAGACTTATGTGCAGGCCCTCCGACTCGGGCGTGGAGCCCTGCAAACTGATAACAGCCGGATGCAAAATATAATGACGGGTCGCATCGCGACGCTCTGGCAAAAATGAGCACATATATATCTTAAGCGCTGTGATTTCACCATTGATTATCTGCTTGTCGCCAATTGACCGATAATTGAGATGCGCTTGTGCCTGCGGATATTCGAAATATTAAATCAACGTCAAATGTCAATAACGAACATTTTCAACTCACATTAAATATAATTGCATTGGTATTCAAATCATCCAGGCTCTCAACCAATATAATGTCCGGCTGATCAATATGAAGTATCAGATTCATTTTTTTGCTTGTATCTTGGGACACTACATGGAAAACATAGATAGATAGGATTAGGGTAATTGAGCATTTATACTTTATAATAATATAATTTATAATTTATACTTCACATACCTGACAGCGTATCCACGGTTTTTTTTGCACTTTCTCGAGCCGTTGTTGCTGATTCCTTAAAAGGGTTTTTCTCTTGCTTCACGCCTGGTTCGCGGAGTTCCGGTTCATCGGGCAAAGTCAGAAACAAGGTCAACTTCATTAGGAAATCAATGCAAACGATCAAATCGAAACTGCGCACTCGTACTTCAGCTGCAATAAAATATATATATAATTATATTAAGTAATTAGATTATGAGCTCATTGCATATTACCAAAGACGTCGTCCTCTTTTATAATTGCCGTTACATCAACCATGTAGTTCCATACCTCCTTCTGGCAGGTCTCAAGAATTTTGTCCTTCTTGGACTTCTCCGCATCCCAGTTTTTGCAGCTAAGATATTGACGTATTTTGCTTTTGTTCGACGAACGCGTATCATCCAATTGTATGTTGCAGAGGACAACGGATACACTGAGCGTGCCATTGTTCAGTTTGGTGCCCTTCACAGACAAATAGTAAATTCCAAAACAGGCCAATCCTTCGCCTTCCTCTAAATAAGTAATGTAAATTTAAAAATATTAATTAACTTTTTGCTTCCCCCAGCTTGAGCAGATTACGGTTTACGAACCCTCCATCAAATTTATAATGACGCCATCAAACTGAAAGTTGAGCTTAAGACTTTCGCATACTTTTAGTGGGTCATCTGAAATGTGCACAGAAGCCCCTGATTCAGCATTTGTTCCGGTACGTCGAACGATGGTTGAAGGTGGAACCTTTATCTCGACTTCTTTTGGTGGAAACTCAGCGAGACCTTCGCTCAAATTTTTGTTCAGTATAGACATGATGAGCGCATAGTCGTCCATGTAGAGTGTTAGCTGTAATTGAGCGTTATATATAAATATAAATTAGATTGTCGATAGATCCTTAGCGTGCTCTTTCTTTGTTACCTCAACAGACTTTAAGTGACCCGAAAGATTCATCTCTGGTACATCCGTGTACCAAGCGAATGATAAATTGCGCGTTACCGTTAGCGTAAAACTCATAGGTTCCATCATATTAACTGAGGTCTTAATTCCAAGAACGGCATCCACATCTATATTATTGATTAAACACATAAATATCATTATTAAATCTATATTCATCAATTATCTGGACGAGTCCTACTCACCATCGACCTGTGAATCGTTTGTATCCAATATAACCACCTTCGATATTTTGACATCTTTTAGCTGCAGTTTTATCTCATCGATGACAGCGTATTGGTCCACACTGGGCACTGGCGTCTCGATAGTTGTATTTGACATCTCCAGCAAGCCCAAATCAATGGCCAATGCATCTGTGCTTTGTGAATCCACCGGCACCAGTATAACAGGCGCTTTAATTCTAATATTCAGTTTCATGCGCGTTGCCTTTTCGTAGGCATTGATGGCGTTTTGTTTAGCCGACTGGGCAGCAGCTGCGCTGGCATTCGTGAGTGCATCCTGGGCAGTTTGGAAGTGACTTGAAAAGTTCTACCGAAAGAAAAACAAGTGTGAATGATATATAATGAGGATAAATATATAATGCCCTACCAGTAGGCCGGTGACAAACCAGTTGAGGAACACAATCTTCATGCAGCCAATGTCCACCGTTACTTTCATATCATCTGAATTGTAGTTACGGGTGTATTCCTTATTGAACAGCACCACCTGGCAATTGAAGGCATCCTGGCCCACAATGGTCAATATCTGAAAACGTAATTCAAAGCTCGCTTAGTCTCACATTCTATATAAATCGTTGGCTTGCACTCACTTTCGTATGTATTGTTCTCGGATTGAGATCTAGCATTACAATATCCTTGAGTCCAATGTTCACCTCGGTGTACGAGTCTTTTAGTGTTATGTTAGTCACGAAGTGCTTCACCTGCATCAGGGAGAGTGGACGCTTGCGAGAGGTTAGCTTCAAGCTAATCGCCTCAATATTGGCAATCATACGCATTTTTACGGTATCCACAATCAGTTTCCTCTTCCCTTTGTTCTGGCGCACGGCCATCTTTTGGCTGGTGACTATTGTTTCGGCGTCTTCCATAATAGCTTGCAGTTTGTGCTTTAGTCCATCGCCATCGGCCGCGGATGCGTAGCGATCGCGTGGCTTCAAATTTAATAATATTACATCCATACGCTTTTGGAAATCGTTGGCCATTTTCAACAGACGCTGCAGGCACTCCTGGTGCAGCACAATGTCGAGTACCTCGAAATTGGCCACCATCAGCTGCTCGACGGAATTGTATTTAGTATTAAATTCGGGCGACAATTTATCGGCCATCGTATAGCTGATTGTGAGTAAATATTTCTCGTCTTTGATGTATCCAGGTGTATCGATGATATCCAGGACATTATCCGACGTGTCCACACAATCGAAGTGCTTGAGATTAATGCTGCCCAATCTGAAAGATCATAAATATGTGATGGAATAAAAAACCCATTTGATTTATTTTTGCAGAGGCGCTACTTACTTGACAGACGCAACTGTTTCGTAGGTGCGCTGGGCCATGTATGTTTCCACTTGGAGAATTTCAAATAGCAGTGTCTGATTTATTTCTTGTTGAAGGTCAGACAGGATCGACAGCTCATTGGGGCTTGTTACCATCTCCAACTCAGGCGTTACATATGTCGATTCCGTATCGCCATCCGTTTCACAGCGCCTATTCGATTCCATCAGCTTAAGGGTAATTTTTTGTAGGGAGAAATTTACCTCGACATTGGTGTATTGTATTATTTCGTCCTGAAGTGCTTGCTCTGCTTCGGCCACTGGAGTGGTACGCTTCTTGATTTCACGATTTATGAAGTTCGATATTGAGCTGCGTGAGCGTCGCAACACAGGTGCCAAATCTGGGGCATCGCTCTGAGGCAGGGGCAAGTTGGTGACCAAGTCGATGGCTTCCAGCATACGATCTTCGGTTATGCTGAGCTGCACCGCCGGCATCACTATATCAATTTTGATTTTGGGCAAACGCGGATCATTGTCAAAGACGCACAATGCGGCCTCCACCTTAAGCGACGTCGGCAGCAGGACATGCAATTCCGTTGATTCGGCCATATTGAGGACACTTTGCCATGGTTCATGTGGCCGCACCACTAGTATTTGTACATCATTTACTTCCACAATGAATCTGTCATAGGAGTTTTCCATAACCGACTTCAATATGTCCTCCTGTTCGACGCCCTCATCGTGCAATGCTCTAACTTGCTCTGAGGTGCGTCTGTGTGGCTTGGTTGTCATATGCACCTGACCCATACTGAGCACAATCAGAGCTTTCTCATCGGACACATAGTAGCCGCCATGCGGCACCACCAGTATGTTGGGCATTAGCAATATGTCTGCATCCAATATGGATTTCTGATCGATAACATACTGCATGCCCGTCGCTGAGCGCTCCTTGATGTCCACCAGCTTCGAAGCAGCCGTTTCCTCGAATTTCGACAAATTCACATCAGTCGGCGGCTTGAAAACACTGCTAACAGCCATAATGGTCTTCGAGTCGTAGGTGATTTGCAATGGACGAGCGACAACCTTGACACGTTGATTGCACTGCTTATCAATTGGATTCGTTTCGAAGAATATATCCAGCAAATTGAACTCATCCGTTGTTATCGACTCGATCAGCATGGGCGCGCGATCGTTTTGAGTTACACCTGTCATCTGCAAACACTTCATGCCCGCTGTCACGCTCATGGCATCGGCAGCCGGTCTTTGTAAAATCGTTGCAGTTGCCATAGAGAACTTCAATAATATTATCGATGGCAAATTGAAATAGTCGAGGGCGCTGCTTTGATCGGCGTCAAGCTGCACTTCCTGGTATAGGCCCATTTCGAGTGCAATTAGTTTGAAATTCATTTTGAGAGCCACATACTCTATGGGCACATCCTGTGGCTTCATATTCTCCTCGTAACCAATCGCCTTGTACATTTTGGCCTTCTCCTCTGGCGTCATAGCAGCCTCGAATTTGCGCACTATAAAAAAAAAAATGAGTATGTTACATATTGTAAAATAGGGTTTACGGCTATTGTTTTACCCAATTTTTGACTGGTGCCTTCGTCTCCATCCGACTTGGCCGAATTACCACCCCACCAGTTGCCAAGCCAGCTCGTTTGCCGAGGTGGTATTGACTCGCGGTACTTGACTATTTCGATGTTAACGCGTTGCCTTATGAGCAACAGATTGAAGAGATCCAACTTCTCTTCGAGCATCTTACACGATTCCTCCAGCGTTTTTGTTGGCTTTTTGCAGAGCTCACGTTCTTTGTATTTCTGCAAGAGAGAAGGAGAATAATTAGTTGCGATTCAAGCTGCTTATCGTTGAGAAAACGTACCTCAGCATAGTCATTGCAACGCTCTCGATGATCTTTTATGTAGTCCCAGGTCCAGGTGCGCTTCGGACGTCGTATATCATACTCGAGCACAGCGGTAATTGCGAATTTCCACCACTCCTTGGCGTGACCCTTATAGGCTACATGTACACAAAAATATCTTAAGAAATTGACTTTGCTTATTAATGCTATATGACTCACGTATATTATAGGGTCGATATTGACGATACGGCAAGCCTAGCTGCATACGATTCATCGCATCGCCCAGCTGTATAAGATATTGGAATTGTTTATTGGTCAAGCCCACGTTGAGGGTTTCCATCTCCAGACTAAGATCAACTTTGGGTTTCTCAAATGCTGGCTCATCCAGTTCTGGATTCATGTTCAGCTTCAACTTCGTAATGCAGGAAATGGGACCCAAAACTGAATGCGATAAAAGTAAGGAGTGTAAGACACTTTTTGCAAATAAAACTAAAGGAAAGTAGAGAATTTTTACCATAACAGTAGTTGGTGGGCTTGAAGTCCTTGCGTGCTATTTGATCCTTGAAAGTCTCGACTAGCTTTTCCCTTTCTTCAGACGCATAAAGCCTAGCCTTGCAGTTCATGTAGGCAGCGAGGCAGGAGAGATTCGCAATTTTAAAGACCTCCGGTGCACGCTCCGTCATATAGGTCTTGTCCCAGTTATTATCCGTTGTGTAAAGTTCCAGTTCATGCAGCGTTATGCCAAACGAGAACGCCGATCCCATCGTTGTGGAATCCTCATAGCGAAAATGCACATTGCTAATTTTTACTTGCAAATTGTTCACAATTTGTGCAGTCAGCTTTTCCGTGAAGCCAGCATCAGCCTTGGGCACAGCTGCAAGATAATGAGAAATAGTATTAGATATATAATTTATATAGATTTATGTTAGATTTATCGTACCCGGCTCTAGCTCCTTCTTCATCGCAGCCTCCTGAGCATCCAGTGCAGCCATTTTGGTAGCCAAATTCTTTTTCTCCTCCTTTTCAGCATTGTATCGGACATTATTGTTGGGCGTGACAAGCACATAGAGACCATCAATATCGGCTATAACCGGCTGGCTATATAAATTCTTCCAGGGTATTTTCAGCACCAATTTGCCTAAGCAAAGTATACACATTAAAAAGAGATAAACATTTACCATCAACTATTTTTTTTCTTTTTTTCAACTTACCCAAATAGCCATAGACTAGCTGAACGGGCAAATCCATATCATCCAGCGCATTGCTGCGAATTTGCAGATTCGTCAAGACCACATCGCCTGAAAAATATAAAAATATATTCAATTATTTATTTATAGATTAATGTAAAAATAAATAGACAATACTTGAAAATTATGTACCTTATTAATGCACGCTATTAGCAAATTGATTTATTACAGCAAATGCTTTGAAAATTGTTGGGCAAACAAATAAACAAAAGCCGGCAATGCTAGGGTAACAAAATATGGCCAACCATTTATACAAAGTTTAGATATACATATATGTATATATTTATATGTATTTATGGCGAGCCATATCAAGCACACATGGCTGGCTATTGGGCGTGCCTGGAATTTCGATTGTTTGTTAGGCGCGGAATGCCATATGGAAGAAGAAAACATTTTTGACCTCGGATAGCGCATATTAATTTTTTGATTGAATTACCTAATATAGGTCAATTTAGTTAACGATCAGACGAAAAATTACCTCATATTCTATGTAATATTGACCCATAAATCTGATAATTTTTGAAATATGAGCACAATTCAATCTATTTCGTATTATCAGTAAATACTAGACTTGCCATCGATAAGAAGTTAAGAGAATATTGTCCAAAATTTTGAGTTTACTGATTAATTAATTATGTAAGCTAATACCGTTTTAAGGAAGGAGCTACTGAAATATTTCTATTGGTTTCCTATTTTTATTAAAAGGAATAAAATCTTTTCTTTTTTCTAATAGATATTTGAAATTATATTTAATCACAAACTTTATTATAGACAGTTGTGCTTCTTTTTGAATATGTTCACCTATATATAAACACATTTTACTACCAGGTGCTCCTCTTTCGAAGAGTAAATTTAAAATTGTTTTTCTTTTGAGTCTGTATAGCTCTCTTATCGCGCACAAGTGTCGCTTATCAGTAAGCGGCCCATATATGAGAATTTGCCCACATGAAGTAATGATACGAAAACCTTGGATGAATCAGTTCATGTGTATATGTATTTACAATTGAGAGGCAATTATTTAAATGTATTCTAATTTTCAGTAAACAAACCAGGGAATGATTAATATTTGTTATAGGTAAGCAAAATGAGCTAAGCTTAAACTAAATTTACTACATATATAGAGTATCATCAAAAGCATGCATATATATAAATATATATACATATTCACCCATAATGTATTTGCTACTTCATAAATATATTTTTATTAAATAGACTTGCCTGTTAAACAATATATGTTAATTATTTCCATTTGCTATATACTCTAAAAGCCTTCTAAATAGACTTTTACATCTATCCTATATCTATACTATTCGCAGCTTTTATAACCTGAAATGGGTTAAAATTCAAATAAAAGCACTCAGTGAACAAAGATATTATTCATGAGCTACGCATTATGTCATCCGAGTTCAAGTTCAAAATTTTGTTTAGCTGTCATTCAAGCTGAAATAGACGCCGAGAAACCCGTTTACCGGGACAAACATGCTATATACTTATAAGGCTAGCCATTGACTTTATTGGACTTAATTAAAATTAAAAGATATGTATGTATATAATAAAAGTCAATAATTATTTGATAAACTCTTGTATTTAATGCGTTTTATACAAGTGATTATACGCGTATATACATATTTACATTTATTATATAAAAGCCTAAACAATGAGAAAAACCCAAGCGTTGCATTTTTATCATTTCATATCGTGTAATTTGAGCAGGCAGCTGATAAACACCCTTTTTTCTCTTTAAAAAAAAAGAAACCTAAGTAATATTATACTGCTACAGGCTAAAGAAGAGATAAAAAATTTAACGACAAGATGATTTTTAAATACCCTATGCCAATATCAATAATTACTTGCGTAGTAAATTCCAGAGTAGTAAATTCAAAACATATACATATAAAAATGTATACAAGGGATCTATCTGTCAGAGTAACATGTTTATTGTGATTGTATAGCTACGTTTATTATCTCTGCTTAAAGCTAAAGCAAATTGTCTGAGGAAACTGTTATGCCCTCTGCAGAAGAGTAGAAACCGCTTGAAAGCCGCAGCTTTTGTTGTCATTCTTGTGCTTTTTATTATTTCTGTTGATCCTATATACAAACGCGAGAATAGCATTCCCAATGGAAGCAACAGTTCAACAGCTTCAAATAGAGATGGGCAAAGAGCAAGAGTGATAGAGAGAGCGTGAATGCGAGAGCAAGAGCGACGCAGCAAACAGACATGGGAGAGCGCTTTCACGGCACTCTCACGCCCATGCAAATATTTAACAATTGGGTCACTGTGCAAAGCCAGAAGGATAAGGTCGCGCAAGCAAAGACAAAAAATGATGTGATCAAGCAATACATATGCATGTACATACCAGCGCACATATGTATGTATATACATACATATATAAAGCATGGTGGTGGATAATAAATTAAGCTAAATGCGCAAATAGCGTGACAGTTAACTGCGTGCATTTTAGGTACACAATTGGGGAACATATTTTTTGTGAACTTACCTCCCCAAATGCCAATTTTCAATTGCTTGTGATCCAAATTTTCAATGTAATCACCCAGCACCTTGTTGAGCACATCTGCTACTATGGCCTCGAACACCATCCTGAAGCTGGCGGCGCCGCCGTCGTCGTCGTCGTTGCTGTTCTAGCCGGCGTTTCTGTGCCGTGTTCAACAAACACCTTTCAACTCCAATTAGGTGAAACCAGCTGTTAACAGCTAAAAAGCGGCTGCCGATTGATTTTGTAATCTTTCGTTTATGTTTATTTATTATTATTTAAGTTTGAACGGTGTGCGTGTGCGAGTACGCGTGGTTTGGCTGGTCGCTCTCCGTTTCGTGTGAATTTAGCCTTTTCTAAACATTAGAACAAAACAGAATGGAATTGAGAGACAAACAAAAAAACACACACAGCGATGATATTGCTGATGATGTCATCACTAACAACAATCATCCACGGAAAAAATCAACTAAAACATGCTAACAACAAAGTAGACAAGACACTGTATTTAAATAATTTGCTAAGCATTACACAAAATAAATACACAATATGCGTAAAACATTTGGCACTGTTTTCAAAGTGTTACGTTAATTAACAACATATTGTTGGTATGGATGGGTGTGAATACCCTCCTGGAATCGATATGAATTCACTTATATTATTCACTTTTCTTAAACATACAGCTCCACAGCCTTTATTTGTTTTTTTGCATATATGTACGTATACAAAGCTTTATCTTTAATTGCCAAGTGGTTCACAGCGCAACAACAATAGCACCGTAGAAAATTTACCTTGTGCTATGTAACATTTTCTCCACTACGCACAAACTTAACACACGCGACGCCGACGGCCGCTCGATTACAACTGAAAGTGAGCGGTTAACAGCTGTGCCTGTGTGGCGGCAGCTCAGGTAATTATCGCGAGAGTCACTCAATCAGAAGTTCTCATTGCAAAAGCAATGTGCGTGCTCCCCACTTTTAGCAGACTTTATTTAACAGTCACTCCTTCGACTCTTCGTTCCCCTATGCTATTAAGAGTGTGACCACACATTAAATAATTTTTTGTTTGTTTTGCTCGCGTCGGCCAGTGAATACCATTTTAACAAACAGCTGTTTGCCTATCCACGCTACACTGCTGCAAGCGAATGCCAATTCACGAGCTGACGTGTTGAGCTGCGGGTAAAAATAAAATAAAATTTAAATAATGCAAATACAGTTTATTTTACTATTGCTGGCCATTGTGCCCGTCGTGCTGTCAAAGAAGTTCAAGGATGGTGAAAAACCTGAGTGGGCTAAGAAGGATATACGGGATTACAGCGAAGCCGATTTGGAGCGTCTGCTTGACCAATGGGATGTGCGTAAATCTGAACATTCAGCTTGAGCAGCAAAATAAAAATTAATTTTACAGGAAGATGAGGACCCACTTGCGCCAGACGAGCTACCAGAGCACCTGCGCCCACAACCAAAGCTAGATTTATCAAATTTAGATAGCAAAAACCCCGAAGAGCTGCTCAAAGTATCTAAAAAGGGGCGCACGCTGATGACATTTGTTTCGGTCACCGGCAATCCCACCCGAGAAGAGGGCGAACAGATCACAAAGCTATGGCAGACCAGTTTATGGAATAATCACATACAAGCGGAACGCTACATGGTCGACGACAATCGAGCAATATTCCTGTTCAAAGATGGAGCCCAGGCCTGGGAGGCAAAAGACTTTTTAGTGGAGCAGGAACGTTGCAAGGGCGTTACCATCGAAAATAAAGAATATCCTGGCGTACATGTTAAGGACGAATTATAGTTGTATCTAAGCACTCCAAGCTACATACATTCTCAATGTAAAAGTATTTATTAAGCGCAAAATGAACAAATTGAAGTCACCAAATGGAAAATTATGAACTTTAGTTGTTTGGCCATTCGCGTGTTAACGTTGCAAGGCTTGTGCAGCCCTCGCTTGGGTTGTTTACGTTTCAAAACGTCAAAATTTCGAGCACCAGCTCCCCTCAGTTTGACCTTAGCAGACACAACGGCTTCCCCATCTTGTCCAAAGGCGCGTCCAAATTGCTGCGCCTGCAACAAGACTAATAAGATGCCAATTCAAGCGAAAATCGGACCGTCTATATTAAACGCAGACTTGGCCAATTTGGCAGCCGAGTCGCAGAAATTATTAGACAATGGCGCAGACTATTTGCATCTGGATGTTATGGACGGTGCGTTTGTGCCAAATCTCACCTTTGGCCATCCCATGGTAAAATGTTTGCGTAACCATATCAAGGTAAGCGTGTGGTTTTGTTATTTGAGATATGTTTATATGCATACGTGTATCTCCGATCTGTGTAGGAGGCATTCTTTGAGACGCACATGATGGTTCAGAATCCAGAGCAGTGGATAACGCCTATGGCAGATGCGGGCGTTAATCTGTATACATTTCATGTAGAGCCCGTTAAGGACGTATGCAGTGTTACGCGAAAAATACAGGAGGCCGGCATGAAAGTGGGTCTGGCCATCAAGCCAGGCACCGAGGTAACACTTTTGAGGTTATGTGCGCATACGCCCTATATGTGACTGAAAAACATGTGTTGCAGGTAAAGGAAATCGAGAAATATATAGATGTAGCAGATCTAGTGTTGGTCATGACCGTGGAGCCAGGCTTTGGCGGACAATCCTTCATGGCCGACATGATGCCCAAAGTGGAATGGCTGCGCAATAACTATCCCAATCTGGATATTGAAGTGGATGGTGGCGTCGGACCAAAGACCATCGATTGCTGTGCCAAGGCGGGCGCCAACTGGATAGTATCGGGCACTGCTGTAGTCGGCTCTGCCGATCAGCGACAGGTCATCGGCGAGATGCGGAATGTGGTCAAAAGTTACCTAAAGTGAAGCTAAAATGCATTTAACTAAATAGAATTTCTAACTTAAGTACAAAGTGAGTTTGCACTCAACATTATCCAAATTTCCAGAATTTCCAAATTTACTGTATAAAAAGATATTTGTTTGTTACACAATTTATAGTGCTAAATTAAATATGGTTTTCAAACTTTTATAAATTGTAATGAACCTATTATCTTTGTTACATTTGTCTGGAAAACTGCATATAATGGGCAGTAGGAGGCGTGCCCGCCCCATAAGGTATACCTCACTAGGACAAACAGGTGACTCGATCTAGCCATGTTCATCTGTAGCGAAACCTAAATATTAAAATAAATATAAATTGAAATAATTTTTTTTATAGTTTTATACATTTATTTTTCAACATTTATATATGTAAGTATATAGTATGTATATATGTATGACATTTTTTGCTTATAGCATTTAGTTGGTTATACGTGTTTATGTGTGTGTGTGAGTGTTTGTGTATGTGTGTAGTTACACTTAAATTTATGCACATTTTTAGTTATTGTACGGCAAGATTTCATTTTAAATTTAATTAGGGGTGTGTATTTTGCCCTCGCTAATACAATTTTTAGTTTACAAACTTTTAGTAAATATGCCTCGAGGTCAAATTTCTTCAAAGGGGACCAAAACGCAAAATCAGTTTCAATTTTATTGTCAATTGTTCTTCGTTATTTGGTTTTGTTTCTTTTTATTTAATATATGTATGTAAATTCTTTATAAAGTTCGTCTACTTTTTCATCATCTTCTTCTTCGTCTTTAGCTGTCAAATTTGTGCATAATTAACAAGTGCATTTCACCAAAATGATCTCATCTCTAAACACATTCATATATATGCGTGTGTATATAAATTTGTATGTATGTATATATGTATATGCTGATATTTGTGTAAACCCACACAATGTATATATATTATGTATATATGTAAATTCAACTAGCTCTCTTATTTATTTTAGTGTTTTTGTTTTTATTTTTAAATCAGCTTTTTCTGTTTGCAAATTTTTGCTACATTTTACATTTAACATTTTCGCTACAATTTTTTTAGTTTTTTTCTTTTAATATTGTCCTTGTTTAATTTACTTGATTTTTATTGATAAGCACATTTAAATTGAACAGTTTTGTGAGCGCATCGGTTGTAGATTTATATTTGTTTGTATTTTTAGTTTTTGTTTATATCTAAAACAATATTTTGTTTCATTGAAAATATTTTTTATTATTATTTTAATTATTTTTTTTTTTTTTTATTTCCTCTTTTTATTAATTTTTCTCAATCTTTTTATTCTTACTAACATTTATTATTTAAATCGCCTTTGTCAAATCAAAAATAAGAAACTGAAAAAAACACGCATAGGCCCATTTCATTTGTAAGCATAGCAATTGTAACTAATATAAGTGTATATATGTATGTATACGCATACACATACAGGTATGTGGGGTACGACTTATGTGTGTGCTGATTGTGCTTAATTTTATCAATACTAAAGTAGATGTACTTCTTGACATGCTGATCCGTTATAAATATATGTAGTATATATGTATATGCATGTATGTGTATAACATATTCCACTGGCCAATGCTAAGCATTATTACATCTATATATATACTATATATATAGATACATATACATATATTTAATTATATATTTTTAGACTAAATATACATAAAGCTAAGCGTTGGTTTCTGTTTTTATTTATTTTTTTTCTTTTTAGTATCTTCTTTTACAGGGTATAGCCCAGATCCTTAGCATGTTCATGAATCGGCAATGAATATAAAGTATATATAAGGACTTTTTTTTTGGGAACAGTGTCTCCAAAGCTAACGAAACCAAATGCAAAACTGTAAAGGCAAACAGTAAATGATAATACATGCAAACTACACAGAATGTGTGTAAATTGATCTTAAGTGTAAGCAATATATGTAGTACTCTTGTGTGTGTGTGTGTGTCTAATATATCTAAGCGTGTCACACACACATACATATATGTATATATATCTGTATAAACACTTGCATATGTTTTGTATAAATTTTTAGACACCATCACATCTGCTTAAAGCTAAAGCTACTTCATATATATATATAGATATATATCCACACATATATATATATATCTATACTTTCTTTCCATATATGTATATTTGGTTGTATATATATTTCACTTAGTTTTATTTATTTATTTCTTTTTACTTTGTATTTAAAGTATTTTCGTGTGCCTTGTGTAATATGCGCTTCATTTTCTGTTTCTTCATTTTCTCTTAGGCTTAAAGTAGTACTAGGTATACTTGAATACTCTGATTTTTCTTTTTGTAAACTGATTGTACAAAACATGCATATATATTTTGTCTAATGCTAAATACTCATCGTATTATTATAGATTATACACATACACACATCGATATAGTATGATATATATGTTTTATAATCGTAATACTCGCAATACTCATCTAAAGCATTTGTCAACAAGTTTTAGCTAGAAATGATAGTTTAACTAGGAAATCAAATATCAAGTTGATTTGTTTGTTCGTTTAAGCCTGAAACAACCAATTTTGAGTCTTTAGTTACGCATTTTTACTTTTATATAGCTACAAATGTATATGTGTGTATATAATAGTACTAGATGGCATAGGCATAGGCATAGCATAGGACCAGGCGCCTAAGCGAAACTGAATTTCAACTAAGAGCAAAAACTTTTTTATTGATTGTTTTGTTTTTATTTTTTGTTCGTTTTTTCTCCCTTCTCTCGTAACTAAAAAGCAACTACTATATACTTGACATATATATATAATATATATTTTTTTTAAGAGAGAGTTGTTTTTGCTTGGCAAAATAACAGAAAAACAACAAAAAGAAATTAATATATTTAACATTTAGTTTTGTATATAGCTATAAATTTTAGATTTTTTTTTTACATTTTTAAAAAGCATGTATACTCACTCTCTCTTTCTCTTTCTAACACTCTCTAGCTCTGTCTCTTTTTGTGTAAATAGTACATCAATTTTAGCCTTCAATATATATGCATGTATAATACATATATAGATATATATTTATAGTTGAGTATTTCCCTTTTTTCCACATTCAATTTCATTATTTTTTGTGTTTTGTTTAAAGCTGAAACCCACGCATTGTAGTTAAGTATTTTCATGACTTTTGCTATAACTAGGTATAGTGCTTATAGAGAAGTTTTTCTATTACATTTAAGAACAGCTACATTTAAGTTTTAGGTGTCGTATCTCTTTCCTCTTATTGTCCTTAACACATTTGATTAACTGAAAGATCATCTCAAATGCTTTAGATCAGCAATTTTTTGTTTGTTTCTTCATCTTTGGTATTGTCCATAGTTTATTTTTTTTCACTAATCTCTAAGTATACATAGTTATTATAATATTTGTGCTTAGTTTTTTACTCTTCGTTTTTCTTGGCGGCAATCATACATTTTTGTTTACAGTTAGATTTCCTTTATAGTAGTTATACAGACACCAAAGTGTTTACATTTATCTTAAGCTAAAGCTGTGTAGTGTTTTCTTTAAATATATATGTATATCTCTTTAGTTTCATATTTTATTGTCCACAATCGTTTACTTTTTCTTAGACACATTGATACACAGGGATTATGTTTGGGAATATGTTTATATATATATGTTTTCTATATATATGTATTTATCCATTGACATTTGATTTTTTATTTTCGAATTCTGATTTCGGATATCGAATTTCGGATTTCATAGAAAACTCTGTGTAAAAAAATTGACAAATAAATTCGGCAAAAATTGACATTACGCTTATGTTGCCCCAGATTTAAGTTGATTTCAAGTGGAATCATTGAATGCTGTTTCAAAATACCAGCTATACCTCAAGTTCAGTAGCAAAATAGATATGTGTATATATATATATATGACCACATATATATACATGTATATGTATAGGGTATATGTGTGTGTTTGTGTTTCGAGCACAAGAGCTTTTCGGCTTTGTACTTTGTGCAAACGTTTTAAGGATATGCTCTATTCAAAGATCATAATATGGCCATTTCTCTATATAGGCTAGGTATACATATGTATTTCGTGGTTTTACAATTTCGTTCTGTTCGCTTACTTACGCTCCTCACTGTCGTAGAAGTCAATGCCCTTCGGCTTGCCATTGTGATAGTTGAAGGGTTTCCGCTTCCTCACCGGACCCGTTGCCATTTTGGAGAGTATATCGGGTCCGCCCGGATGCAGATCGTATTTTTGCACTGGATCCTCGTTGGCTGGACGTGAATATTTCTGGATTTGTTCGTTGATCCACGGCACATACTTGATGACATTCGCATAGACGCCGGGTAGCTTGGGATGGGCGCACATGATGCCCCACGAGACGATGCCGCCGACAAACCAACGATCCTTTTCGCCAGGATATGGACACAGCAGAGGTCCGCCGGAATCCCCCTTTAGAGAGAGAAAGTGAGGACGAATAATAGCTTAAATATAGAGATATATAGAAATATAGAGATGCTCACCTGACAGGCATCCTTGCCTCCGTCATCGTAGCCCGCACAGACCATGCCCTCGGACACGGTTAGATTGTCCAGCCATTCGTCACATTGGTTGCGCGTTATGATGGGCACCTGCACCTCATTGACTATGAACTCGTAGGTGGACTTGGCTGCAATGATAATAAATAGACATATAACTAAATCTAAAAGAGAGAGAGAGATAGAGAGAGGGAGAGTCTAATCACTTACGATCCTTGTCCTCGCGCTTGCCCCAGCCAATGACGGTGCACAGTTGTTCGGGTCGCAGACTCTTGATGCTGGGCGGCGGCAGACAGACGGGCAGCAGATGCTCATGGAAAGCGACACGCGTGGCCAGCTGCAAAGGAAAAACATAAGCTAATAAATAAGAAAGATCAAGGAAATTCCTAGGTAACCCACCTGAAAGAGGGCTATGTCATTGTCATGGGCTATGGCCATATTGTACTGCGGATGTGGTATGACCGTTCTGACCTTGACCTTTTGACCCGTATAGGTAAACGAATTGCGACGCGTAACGCCCAGCTGTATGGTCCAATCCTCCAAGTCGATAACCGTATGACTATGAAAGATGAGCAATTACTTATTGTAAAACTACATCCGTATATACTAAGGTTCAGCTCGAACTTACTTGCCCACACAGTGGGAAGCGGTGAGCACCCACTGATCGGATATGAGCACGCCTGCACAGTAGAACACCTTCTCGGGTCCGCCCAGGATGGCAGCCAGGAAGGGCCAATTGCCGGGATTGGCCTGAGAGCCGCCGATGATGCGCCTGGAGGGCTTGTGACGTCCACGCTTGACCTTGCCGCACTCTAGGGAAAGCAGAATGGGATTAGGTCTAGCTTTACGAGTAAATCCCTTGTTAAACCCACCGAAATTGGAACAGGTCAGCTCAGCTATGGGATAATCCTCTGTCTGCCGGCAGTTGGCAAATTCCTGCATCAGCGTCGAGCGGCGTTTGGCATACAGCTTCCAGATGTCCGTGGAGACATTCACCGAGGCCAGCAGCGGACGATGCGTGCGCTGGGTCACCACGCTGGTGGCATTCACGGCCGAATAGCCCAGGATGGAGCAGACAGCGCTGGGCGAGACGGCACGATCCCAGTTCTTCACACAGGCTGGCATCCATTGGCGCTTGCTCATACGAAAGACCTCCAAGACGCCCGAGCCCACATCGCCATTGCGCTCACTCAGACGCACTGCAGCACAAGATGAAGATCATATCAATTAGCTATTAAGGATTTAAAGGCTCCAGAAGGTACATACAACAATTGCGTTCGTCCTGTGCGTAGGGACAGTCGATGACGCCGTCGCAAATGTGATCGATGCTAATGCAACGCTCGTCTCCACAATAGATTTCGCCCTCGTGACAGCGCGAACAGTTGCCCTCGTCCTCCTGGTCCATGCAGTCCAGGTGGCCATCGCACACGTATTCCTTAGGCAGGCAGCGGCTGGTGTCGCACTGGAAGCCATCGCATTTGGGATTCGCCGACGATACCATGACCTCACGCACCTCATCCAAGCCCACACAGTCCTCGGCGCTGGAAAAGTCCTTGAACAGTTTGCAATTCAAATACTCCGGCAGACTCAAGCCAAAAACGTCAAAGAAGAAGCCACAGCGACGCATTGTTTCCGTGCAGAGCGTCTTACAGGGCGGCACAGCGGCGCTGTAGGTGGGATGAGGATGTGTTAGATGGGCACATGGATACATATGTAGATGCTCGGTAGAGAGATCCACTTACCCCGTCTGTCCACACTTGGGCACGAAGAGCGTGCAGAGGAAGAGCGAGACCAGTTCGTAGCAGCGCACATCGACCAAAGCCTCAAAGGAGTCCAGATCCTGCAAATGGGATTACTTACTGCATTGACTGACAATTGGGCGCATATTTACCACTTGCGTCTCCAGCTGACCAAAGTGTCCAATGTAATTAGGGAACACGGTGTAATTGTAGGGTATCTGCGAGCCCTGACAGAACTTGATGATGATGGGCAGACAGGTGCCCGGGGCCGGATTCTTGCCAAAGTTCGACGTATCCTCCACATGGATGGTATTGATGATGGTCTTATTGACGAACTTAATTGTGGGATAGGCATTGAAGTAGGCAGCCAAGCCGCCGGCGATGGCCAGCAGGGCGAAGGCATTGATCAGGATTTGGAAGAGGCGAAACTTCAAGCGGCCGTTGGTGATGTAAGGATTCGAGCTCTTGCGTCGATTGATGATCTGAGGGAGAGAGTGAGACGGAGAGAGGGAGAGAGAGAGTAAGTCATGAGAGGGAGGATTAGTGGGCGTGAATCTGCCTTACCTGATGCTGCAAGGACATGGTGTGCGGTGCTCCGTTCTGGAAGCGCACGATGGTTTGTAGGCTGCTGGGCGTGGCGCTGGCGCACTTGTTGAGCGGCGACAGCGTCTGGGGCGGCTCCAGCTCCTCGATGGGCTCGTGCTGCACGCCCTGGCGACACACAATGGGCGCCGGGGCGCTGCACAGCCGCTTGGCGGACAACGAGGGCAGCAGCGGCGCCTCCATCAGCTTGGGATTGTAGCCCGGACTGGAGGTCTGACTGAAGCTGTCGCTGGATATTGTCGAGTCCTGGCGGAAATTCATCTTGCCACGCATCGGCGTCGCCTGYTGCTGCTGCTGCTGCTGAGGCTGATTGCTGCCGGAGCCAATGCCAAATCGTGATGGCACCAAATCCATCAGCGGCTGTCGCTGCACCACACTGGGCGCCTGGCTCTTGCGCGCCGTCTGCGTGGAGGCGAGCAGCGGCGTCTCCATCAGCTTCGAGTTGTAGCCGGGGCTGGAGCTGATGGAGTAGCTGTCGCTGGACAGCGTGGAGTCCTGCCGCTGCTGCAGCTTGGGATAGACAATGGGCGGCGGCTTCTTGCGCGTCAGCTTGTTGCGCACGGTCAGTGGTGGTGGTGGTGCCGATGGTGTCTGTGCTGCCTGCGGTGTGCCCGCCTGATGCACCTTGGCCACATTGTCCATGCACTCGAATGCACTCAGATTGCGCAAGGGCGGCTCCGGCGGACCTGGACGTTTCACTTGATTGTTGGCTGAGCTGGCGGCCGCGGCAACAGCCGCCTCGGCGCCCGAACTGGATGACATGGTGGCACTGGATATGGTGCTCGAGCCGCTGCCAGCGGACGAAGTGGACGCCGAGGCGGAGACACTGCTGCTGCTTGCCTCCTTGCCGCTGTCACTGCTCGAGTTGTGACTGCTTTTCGGATTGGGCGGCGGCGGTGGCAGCTTGGCCGGCAGCTGGGGCATCTTCCGGGCCGGCACCTGCGGCAGTTTGTTGTTGTTGGGATTGCAGCCAGTGGCGTTGCTGCTGCTGCTGCTGCTATTGATGTTGCTGTTGCTATTGTTGCTGCTGTTGTTGTACAGATTATTGTTGAGCTTGTGCATGACATCGTTGAGAGCGGCTCGCTCGAGGCGGCACGTGTCCTTGGCCAGCGGCGAATCGATTGAAATGCTCGGCGGCTTCTCGTCCAGCGACGATTGCGTGTCCACCGATGAGAAGCGACTGCGAAAGTCCACACTGGTCGAGCTGGAGGCGAAGCGTTCGCTATGCCCGCCCGTGGATGAGCCATACGCCGAGTCGGCGGTGCTGCTGGAGGAGCGCTGGGCGCGCTTGGCCATCATGCCGTAGCGACTGCTGCTGCTGCTGCTGTGCGCATAGCCGGCGACCTTGACGGGTGTGGAGGTCAGTGACTCATCGAAAACGGAATTCTCCAAGCTCATGCGGTCGTCATCGGATATGCCATCGGCATCCGTGTATGTCGGACGTGCGGCTAGGTCAACAAGCAGCGCTGATTGTCCCACGCCCCCTGCTCCAGCACCACCAATACCACCCACACCACCCACACCACTCAAACCACCAGCACCACCTGCGCCAGCGTTCGCTGTGCATTCAATGCTCTGACTGGCGCTCGCTGGCTGCGGATAAACAAATACATTGCTGCCATTGGCAGCCGCAGCGGCGGCGGCGGCGACGGCGGCAGCGGCGACTATATCCTGGCCAACATCCTGGCTGCCGGGCTGCCAGCCGCATTTGGCGGCGCGCATCAGGCGACGCGGTATGGGCGGCGGTGGCGTGACGGGCGTGTCCACACGCACCAGCTGCTGCTGCTTGGCTGACTTGCAATATTTCTGATCCGCCATGTTTACCTGTCGCACACACACACACACACAAATAAAATAATGTGAAAGTAGAAAGTCAAATGGCAATTCGGACGGGCAATGAGTCAGTCTAAGCCGGCGCTAAGCCGCAGTGCAAAATCTGACACAGCTTGCTCTTCCCCTCTCACTCACTCTCTCTCTCTCTCTCTCTCTCTGCTGTTGTGAACTCTGTTTGCCCGCAGATTTGTGCGCGTGGCACACTAAACATTTTTGACGCTGACGGCGGTTTGACGCTGATGCGGGCAGATAGCTAAAAGGGGGGCAACTGAGGTGGCCCGTTGCAGAGCGGTGGGGGGAGAGGGTGAGTGAAGCCTGACATTGTGCAGCGCGTGCATGGCACACTTAGGGGCAGAGGCAGGTAGGGGAAAGTGGGCGGTAACTAGGAAACTGTACTATCGATAAATTATGCACCGCCAGCGAAAGTTTGTCCGCATAACTAAGTGCAACAGTGCTGAGCAATTAGCTTGTTTACAGCCAAATTGGGGAAAATGGCATTTTAACTGTAACTAATGACCGCCAAGTGATGGGTAGCAATTATTGCTGATATATTTTGAGAAAACTTTTCGAAAAGTTGGCCAAAAACTGAACTCAAGCTGAAGTTGAGCAATTGTGAAATTTCTGACCTCTGAATGGAAAATTTTAGTTCAAGCCAACAACAAACTAAAAGCTCAATTGCCAACTCTGAACTGAGCTTACGACTTTGTTTCTGAGTGCCTTTTTGAGAGTTTATAAATAGTTTTTAAAATGCGGAAATCGATATGAAATAAACTTTTAAGCCGCTTTTTGGGTAGGTCAACAGAATATTATATTACTTGGAGTGGAAGAGTAAAAGAGAGTGGAATAAGTGGCTGTAGGGCAGCTAGCGTTAATTGCTAATATTAAATACAGAAGCAATTTATAAAAGTCTGCCTTAAACATAATTATATATTAACCTGTTTATTACATTCCCTTAGCAATATCAATAGAAAATATCCACTAAAACATATGAAATTGTCATTTCATTTTCCTTAGAAATCATATAAAAAACTTCTCTCCAAGCCAATTTGCTGCTGCTAAGAAAAGCCCTTTAGCCCTCAACTAAACATATTCTTATAAAAGTTTCCTATTTAATTTGCAACTATGAAGTTGCAGCTAAATTAAAATTGAGCCCAGCCTTTTGAAGGATTCCCAAGGACTCACCAGCAGATCGGCGGCAGATTTTGGCTTCTGCTTGTCCTCGAGCATGGGATAGTAGTGGGACGAGTGACGCCTCACAATGCTGCTGGAGCTGCTGCTGCTGCTGTTGTTGATGTTGTCGATGTTGGTGCTGCTGTTGCTGTTGCTATTGTTGCCGCTGGGCAGCGGCAGCAATGTAACCGACTTGCATTGCTCCTGCTGCTTGTCATAAAAGTCCAGCAGTGAGTTGAGTGGCAAGGCCAAGCTCGAAGCGCGTTCCGAGCTACAAGTATAAGAGGCAAAACAACTTTAGCATAAGTGGGCAAACTATTAATGCATGGGGGGCGTGGCAGCACTTACCGTGTTCGATTGCGTTGAGCATCGCTCGAGTGCGATTCCTGCGAAACGCTTAGAAATTGTTTATTCATATCGAGTGCGTTCATGTTTTAATCAGCGTCATTAAGCGAAATCGAACTGCAAATATATGAAAAAGTTTCAGCATTTAACACAGTTGGCAAAAACTTTTGCTCAGCACTTGATAAACTTATCAAACGCACACACAGAGAGAAGGGGAGGGAGAGAGCGAGTGTGTGTGTGTGGCACATGCTGTGCATAACAAATGCCAACTAGCTGAGGCCACATCGCATGCAAAACACTCGCCGCATGAATAAAAATCAATTATGCAATGGCTCACACTTTGGCTTAATACGTGCCCACAACTGTCCAGACAAAAGTGCAGGATACGCTCTATACAATCAGACTCCCTCGCTTCCTCTCCCTCTCTCTCTCTCGGCGAAACGGAAACGTTACCATGCCACGCAATTTGGCCTTTTATGTCTAATGGATATGCCATTAGCCCGGGCCACATAACAAAACATCGCACAGACAATGACATTGGCCTCTGCCTTGGCTTTTTGGCCTCTCACCTCTCGAACTCAGCCCGCATTAGAGATACCAAATACATGTATATATTGCCATTGCCAGCGGCCATTGGCCATATTATCAAAAATTGTCATAGCGTTGAGCACGTGTCGGCATTTTCCATATGGCCTGTTATACCATTGCCAGCAGATGGCAGATGGTATAATGTTGGTAGGTTGAGTGAGTTATTATACAAATATCTATATGGTTATAATTTATATGGAAACCAACTGTGGCTTGTTTGTATGAAAGTTCACTAAACTCATTTAAAATGGACAAAATATGAAACTAATATGAAAATTAATATAGATATATTGAAGGAGGTTAGGAATTGGTTTGGTCAGCTTAGGTTATGTTAATCTAAAGTTAGGTTAAGTTGAGTTAAGCTAGGTTAGGTTAGATTAAAACCTTAAGCATTATTGTAAAAAAATTCAGTGAAGAATTTTAAGCGCTAGAAATCGTATCAAACAACATTCAAAACAATCTAACAAATAAATCAGAGAGACTAAGATTACGATTTTAAGCGTGTGCAAAAAAGACTTCAACAATACATTATTAGATAATTATGCTTAAATATATTATTTAAGTACTAAACTGAATTCACTGAGGATCATATAATGTATTTTTTTTTTTTTATTTTTTTTTTAAGTGAACTAAATTATATGTTCAGGAATAAGTTGAKTTTCCATATTATGTATACGTTTTACTTTATTTTACTTTATATTCTTTATATATATACTAAACTTAATATTCTTTTATATTTCTCTTTGTAATTCAAGCAAAGATTCCATAATGAATATTATCATAAGCTCATATACAAACTTTCTGTTTCAGTTATTTAGAGTTTATTTAATGAAGCTAAACATTTAAATAGCTGTTGAAATGAAGCCAACTGTTGGCTTGGGAAATAATTTCGCCAGCTAAAGCACTTAATCAGTGACAACTTTTCATTTGGGTCTGAAATGATGTAAATACAATGCGTCGGTCACGTGCGCATCCCTTTTGCCAAATATATATTTCATGCTCTCTCTCTCCCTCTCTCTCTCTCTCTCTCTCTCTCTCTCTCTCTCTCTCTCTCTCTTTCTCTTGATAGTTGTGTATGGCAATATAGTTATATTTGTATTTATATATATATATATATGTATACTGTATTTTCTTGGTAAGTAGCTGCGCTTTATTGTCAGCCACTTTGATATTGCCCAATATTCATTTGTTGACACGCCCCTCTGCTGCTGCTGCTGGTAGAAACTGTGTCAGCAGCTGAGCCTTAAAGCTGTCAGCGTATAATACACAATATTATGATGGCTCCATTGCCTTTGACATGGCTGACTAAAGTGGCCTTAAAGTGATTGTTGTTGTTGTTGTTGCTGCTGCTGTTGCTGCTGTTGCTTGGCAGCTGGCAGCGCGAAATAATTGAGCGATTTATGACTTACGCCCGATTCGGATGATTGAAAGCTGCCAGCTGGCAGTCAAAGGCAATTCACATCAATGACGAGTCAATAAAACAGTTAATTAAACAAAATACAGGGTATACTGTGTGCTGCTGCTGTTGCTGCTGTTGCTGCTGCTGCTGTGACCTCAATGCGTAAGCTGTTGCACACAGTTTTCCAGCTGTTCACAATTCCAATCTGGGGCTGGCGCCAGAGCGAGACAGGTGCAACAGGTGAAAGTGAAATGCAAGCCGAAAGCAGCAGAAAAATCAGGACAATGCATATATACATACACAGACAGCAGGCGCCACAAGCCCAGTGAGAGTGAGAGAGGGAGAGGCAGAGTGGAAGAGAGATGGCGAGAACTCAGTTCTGCTTGATAATGTGTCAAGGACGAAAATTGACACTAATAGGATTCAGTCAACTCTGACAGGTGCACACAACAACAACAACGACAACGACAACGACAACAACCGGGCACACACACATACATACACAGAGCTCCACACTCACGCGGTTATCTGTTTAAATTCCCAGAACTGTTTGTCATCTGGCCGTAATATAATTTCACATATTGCACAGCTTCAAGCGAGCCAGGAGTCAATTCAATTGGCCTTAGTAATGGCCCTCAGCTTTCTCATATTTCGGCCAATTTGCTCGCGAAATTTTGTTAGGGCCATCCAAATGGCGTTAAGCATATAGCCTAGTTACAATATAAAATAAGCCTGAAGAGATTTCTACTACCTATTAAAGCTCTTTGAGAAAAAAGTTTAAAATCAATCATTTTTCTAAGCAGCTTCAAGATTTTGCTTTCGCTTTGTTTATCTTATGTTTGGGTTACTATTATTATGTTAAAGCAGATTTAATCTGTTATTAAAGGCTGCTTTACAAGATTTAAAAAAATCCAAAGTGTGTGTTGATTTAGGCTGGAATTTTGTAGAGAATTTTATATATTGAATGTTTTTCTTTTGAACAAAATGTGCATATATTGAATGTTTCTGTTTGGCGAAATACTTTTATGAATTATTATAGCATACATTTTGGGATCAACGAGGATTAAATGTTATTTTTTTTTTTCTTTTTATTATATTATTTAAACAGGCTTTTTGCTACCAATTTGGCAGCTTAACAAGTTGAACATTAAATGTTATTAAAATTATAAAAAACCGAAATTCTATAAAGTATATATAAATCCACAAATATGTAGTTAAGGCAGCTGCATGACAAAGGCTGAATGCTACAAGACTCGGTGTAAAGGTACATCAATTCCAAGGACTGAATAATATGAAGCTTGTGGAAAAATGTATGCTCATTGCTCACGAAATAGAAAACATAATCATATGATTCACAGAAATATAAATGCTCTTTAGGTCTTCTAGCGAATTTATGGATGCAGCTAAATGCGACGAGACTGCATGACAGAAGCTGAATGATATGACACTCGACAGATGGTATATTTATTAAACATTCGGACAGACGGGCGGTCGGACGGACAGACAGACGAGCAAGGCTGAATTAATTCAGCTCGTCGCCCTGATCAAGAATATATATGTATGTATATGTACTTTATGGGGTCTGTCACACTTCCATCAGTCTTGCATACATTTCACAAAAACCATCATACCCTGATTTCCCATTTTCAATGGGTTCAGGCTATAATTTTATATAGCATATATGTATACATATACATATATGCATATATCATATATCATTATAAGCATATCATATTTCTCAATAAATCATTCAATTTGCTTGCAGTAAAAAAATTTGATTTGATTTTGTTAACCTAATGGAAATTTTCTATTTCTTGTAAAAATTTGTTGAAAATTAATTCAAATTGCACAATAATAATGAGTAAAGAATATGAAAACAAACACACTTGTACATATCATTATCAAGAAAGAGCATCTAGAAGGACACTTCGTCAACAGTGAAGCTCTCATAGTAAAGCCCATAAGGCTGTCCAAGGCCAAGTCGCTGCGCTAACTGCGCAGTAAGCAGAGCAGAGTCCTTATATATATGTGTATGTGTGTGTGCTTCAGTTTTTTGTATGTAAGCATGCTAATAAAGAAGCATAGAATGATTGGCATAAAAGCTATGAGCAGGGCCCTTCTAGAACTCGGGCTTGCTTTAAATTCAATTTGTTCGTTATTAAATAAATTTTAGACGAAATATTTATAAATGTTTAGCAATGGATGCATGAAACTGAAGCAAATGCATAAATTAGAAAGCCTAGAT